TTAAATTTAAAACATCTGTGAAAACATATTTACTGATACTAAACTGGACGGTAGGGAAAAAATATAATATAAAAATTTGACGTTTAAAAGCGGCTAAAATGTCCTAGTGAATAAACTATTTTTTTTATTTGAAACATTTACTATTATAATATATTTTATTTACGTTTATAAAATTGTATATACAAAATACAGTCAAGATGATTTAATTAACTAAAGGTACTTATTTTTATCGGAGTTGAATAAAGTTTTACAGCAGTGTGCGTCCCTAAATTGTCAAAAAAAAGATTAAAATCATTACATAGTGAAAAACAAAGTCGCATTCGCTCTGTCCGTCCCTATGTTTGCATAAATCTTTAAAACTACGCAACGGATTTTGAAGCGATTGTTTTAATAGATAGAGTGATTCAAGAGGAAGGTTTATATGTATAATACATGTACACCCGAGCGAAGCGGGGCGAGTAGCTAAGGTCGTATAAATCACTTTCTACTTTCAGTACTAGATAACTGATATATTTATTTGTTTAAGCTTTGGATTCCATAATTTTACAGAATAGAATAGAATAGAATAGAATAGAAAATCATTTATTCAAATAAACTTAATTTAAGCACTTTGGGGCCATTCAAGTATTACGTAAGCAAATTTATTACAATTATTTACCCCCCATCCCCCTTGTCAGCAAAAGTAAGCAAAGCTCTTACCCCCTCCCCCCATGCTTACGTAAACATTTTTCAATTAATGTATTATTTTTTAGCAAAGACGATGTGAGGGTTGACATTTGCGTAAAAAAGTAAATAATTACCGATGACGTAATCATCATCTAGACTCCCCCCCCACCCCCCATGTCATCCAAAATAAGCAAAGCAAAGACCCCCCCACCCCCCCCAAATAGTGCTTACGTAATACTTGAACGGCCCCTTTTGAATAGTCAACATTTTTTTAAATCTACCGCTTATTCGGAAAGCTGTCTCATCACAAGAAGAATAAGCAAGAAACTTGTGTGTTGCTCTTTTAAACAATCCTTGTAAGTTCACATTTTACAAGTCGAAACGTGTGAATACAAACTACCAACCAGCACTAGATATATTGTTGTACAGTACAGTACACTACAGTAGATATATTGTTGTAGTAATAAGGAAAGAGACTAGGTAAACGGAGAAAATATATTAATATAGACAACTAACATATTACAAGAATGTAATATAAAAGAACTATAAATTCAAATACAAATTTAGAATATAAAATACATATCTGATTAGCCAGTTACAACACTCCCCCTTAATCAGAAATGGTCAATAAGCAATAAAAAAAAGGAATTACAAAAATAAATATTTTGACAACCCTATACCTACTATGTGTTTGATAAAACATCAGCAGGCAGGAAAAGAAAAGGAAAAAAAAGGGAAAAAAAATTGCCGAATTACGACAAAAAGTGAACTGTGAAATTAAACAATCAATAATTAAACAAAACCTGGACTATAACAAATAGTGAACTTTGAAAATAATGTTAAAATAAGATTTCATATAATTGTATATGCAGTGTAAGAATTCATAATGCAACAATACAACACAATGTAATGAAAACATATGAAATTAGTAGTATATATAAGATTTATATAATTGTATATGCATATTGGTAAATCTAATCCTCCTAATAAAGATGGGTGACACTGCATGTTGTCAACTCACCCGGCCGGCCAGCGGTGGTTCTGGGCCAGACGGATAAGGTCTGCCTCGGTGTCACTGTTAGGCAAATTGTAACATCTCGGCTGGAGTTGTACAAAAGTGGAAATTAAATAAATATAATAATATTAAAGTAAATTAAAAAAGGCACGGACGAATATATCTGTGGAAAATTGTATTCTCAGGAAATTTTTTGTGAGCGTTTAAATTTAAAAAAAAACATCAGCAGGCATGTCGCTGCTTTTGAAATATTCTAAAAATAAAAATTTTATTACATTCTTGTTTTTTGATACTTCGATTCCTTCATTCTATTTCTAATTGTCAATATGTCTATATTAATATATTTTCTCCGTTTACCTAGTCTTTTTTCTTATTACTACAACATATATAGAGAGGTATAATTCAAAATAGATTAATTATGGGTCCTGTTAGGCACAGCGAGCGGAAGACAAGAGATATAATAATAATAATAAAACCAGCAAAAGCTGAGAAAAAATAAATAAATAATAATAATAATAATAATAATAATAAAAGCTGCCATCTTAAATACCTGTCGTACAGTCCGAAAATTTCTCGAAATCGATGAAAATGATATAACACCAGTCACACCAGGCACACAATAAGTACACACACACTCACACATACATACACGCGCACACACACATACACACACTCTGTACTTACTTGGTTTCGGCCCGTAAGTGTGGAGAAAACCAGCAAAAGCTGAGAAAAAATAAAGAATAATAATAATAATAATAATCTCAGGACAATTCACACAGCGCCATCTAGACCCAAGTTAAGCTATCTAAAGCTTGTGTTACGGGTACTAGATAACTGATACAAGTACATAGATAATTTTTTTTTTTAAATACATACATAATATATATATACATAGAAAACACCCAGACCGATACAAACAATCATACTCATGAATACAAATGTTTGTGCCGTGCGAGGAATCGAACCCGCGACCATCGGTCGTAAAGCGGTGTGAGAGAGCTAGACCATAGGTCATCATACCTAGTTATTTATTTATTAATTTATTAACAATTTATTGCACCAGAAAGACAAATTATTAAACAAAGAACAAACTAGTAATAAGTAATAAGGTACAAAAGAAGGTCTTATCTCGTAAGCAACCTCGTCCAGACAACCTTTGGGTAGAGGAGAGAAGACAGAAAGTGGTAGATGGCGCAAGGATGGACTAGAGAAAAAAAATGGCATAGGAATACTAAATAATAATAATTTACATATACTACTTACATATATATATATATATATATATATATATATATATATATATATATATATATACAATTTATATACTTTATATACTAATACTAGCTGTCCCGGCAAACGTTTTGCCTTAAAATAAAAAAAAATATTTAGGGGCGGACTACCCCTAACATTTAGGGGGATGAAAAATAGATGTTGGCCGATTCTCAGACCTACTCAATACGCTCACAAACTTTCATGAGAATCGGTCAAGCTGTTTCGGAGGAGTATGGGAACGAAAACTGTGACACGAGATTTTATATATAAGATATACATATATATATATATACATATACATATTATATACAAATACAAAATACACAGGAGTGTTAAGTAAGTAATTATGTTACACGCAATTTCGAATAAGCTAACTGGATGAAGAATGACAGAACAAGAAAAGTTTAGTTGGAGGGATAGTACATTTAACATAGTTCTTGTAAACGGTCAGTGATTGTGCGACGAATAGAAAATGAAAGTGAGTCCCACAAACGAACAGCTAGTTCAGAAAAGGATGTAGCATAGAACGAGGATGTATGGGTAGCCCATGACTTTGTGCCTCACCGAGAAAGAAGAATCTTTCTTTAAGGAAGTGAGGAAATTACATTTTTTATTAATATTAATGTTCAAAATCTACCCTGTAACATCGTAAGCACAGATTATTATATTAGAGTCCGTTAGTTTTCTGTTCCCGCGAGTTCCCTTCACCTCCCTTAACTAGTAACAAACGGACTGTACAGCGGCCTAGACGCGCGCGCGCATTGTGTTGTGAATTAAAATAAATTAGAACTGTGTTAACCTACTGTGAAGCCTACTGTGAAGCTGGAAAGCTAGCGAACTATAAAGCATATAGCAGAACCATAAAGGTAAATGACTGACACTTCCCTAACATTTTGGTAGCAGAGTAGTTTCCCAAACATTAATATACACAGAAAACACCCAGAATCAGACTGATACAAACTATGGTACTCAGACCACTTACCACCAGGTGAACTGTCCGTTTATTCATTCTATTCACATAAAAATAACACATTAAATTTAATTCCATTACAGAGCAAGATTAGAGCGACGCGTAACAGAGTAATACCTATTTCTCTGTAGCCATAAATATTTGTGATTCCATTTTCAACTGTTCTATGTTATCATTTAATGAAATCATGAACCTGCTATCCTATTTAATGATTAATTAAGTTGTTTAATGATTCAACGGTGATTTAAATGTAACGATTCTTTGAATTTCGTCCGATTCGTTCGACTTACTGAGCAAAGCTTATAAGAAATACATTCTCTGAGCGGCCGGACCGTAGGATCATTGTGTTAGAATTCACTGGACCAACGCTTCAGAATATAGTCAGTTCTGTTATGTTTGATGCCTTTTCATGACTAAACTACTAAACTGTATCATGATCTCAAAAACAATGAGTGAAATAGGGGATGAAAGATTGTCTAGACTTTCTTTCAGAGAGAAATAAAAGCCAGTTTCAAATAAATCAGCTATAACTCGCAGTGCGATTCTCGCAGTCAATCAAATTCAAATTCAAAAATCATTTGTAATATGAAATAGGACATTTTAGCCGCTTACGAATGTCAAGTTTTTTATATTATATTTTTTCCCTACCGTCCAGTTCAGTATATAGATCCAATTGAGAAGAACTGGCAAGAAGCTCAATTGGATTACTTCTTTTTTAAAGCCAGTTTATTTACAATGTATATTTATATAGGTGTCTATGTCTAACATTAAATGAAAATCCAATGCATGAACAGCTATTGCCATGCACGCTCGTCATTCAAGTAATCGTTTAGTGAGTAATAGGATTTGCTCAGTAAATATGATTTAACAGATGTTTTGAATTTATTTAATGGTAATTCCAGTATATCCTTTGGTATCTTATTGTAAATTTTTATACCTATTCCCATAAAAGACCTATTAACTTTTTCTAAACGATACTTGGCGAGCAAAGAAATATTTTTAATATCCTATTTCTTTCTTTATTTAAATAAAGATTATATCTATTTCTATAAAAGAAACTTTATTTCTATCTTTCAGGATGCAGGAGACTACGTATGCCAGATCTCCGATAGAATTTCCCGTGACCAAGTTCACACAGTGGAAGTACTGGTCCCTCCCAGCGTGAGAGCGTCGCCGGAGTCTCGGCACGCGGCCGCACGTCGTGGAGGCGCTGCAGTATTAGAATGCAGAGCTGCTGGCAACCCAGTACCAACTGTCACTTGGCATAAACTGGTAAGACAGACCTCATAATCATTAGAAGATCCGATCATCCCTAGGGGGGTGAAGGTTGGGACCTCGAGGGCTCTATCCCTAAAGGGTTGGGATCAAGTAATAAAACGAATGTTATCCGCACTGTTCTTAGATGCACACATCCCTAGAGGGGATGAAGGTTGGGACCTCGGGGCCCCTATCCCTAAACGGTTGGGATCAAATAAAATAAATAGTATGAAACATATCATAACATTTAAAACCTTAAAAGATATCCCCAGGGGGTGAAGGTTGGGACCTCGAGATCTCTAAGGATTGGGATCAAATAAAATAAATAGTATGAAACATATCATAACATTTAAAACCTTAAAAGATCCGGGGGGTGAAGGTTGGGAACTCGGGGCCCTATATCTAGAGGATTGGGATCAAATAAAATAAATAGTATGAAACATATCATAACATTTAAAACCTTAAAAGATCCGCACATCCCCAAGGGGGTGAAGGTTGGGACCTCGGGGCCTCTATCACTAAAGGATTGGGATCAAGTAACAATACGCATGTCATCCGCACAATCCTTAGAAGATCCGCACATCCCTAAGCGCGGTGAAGGTTGGGACTTCGGGGCCCCTATCCCTAGAGAATTGGGATCAAATAAATTATAAAAAAAATAGCACAATGTTAAAAAAAATTGTACAGTCACAATATTTTTTTATCTTTATTCGTTCAGTTCGGCTAGCTCACTTGATTTAAGTTTGATTCTTAGTTGATTCACATGAATGAGTAGGTAGAATATGAAAAAAAGTTTATTAATATATTAAAAAAAAATCCAATCTGGTTTATTAACATAAAGCAATATAATATGTATCTTATGTTAATACTAGCTGTGTCCGCGTAAAATTTATAACCTATATGTTATTCTGATATGAGTATAAGCTGTATTTCTGTAAAGTTTTGTGGTTAGGTTGGCGTGTTGATATACAGAAGGAGTGATATTAATAAAAGATTGAATATATGACGGTGTATATAATATCAGAATTAAAAATAACAAATAATAATTAATTTAACAACTCATTTAGATCAGTAATTTGCAAGCGAATCAATTTGACATTTTGACAATATACTTTTTATTAAATGTGTTTGTGTTATATGGCTAGTTTATGCAAGGAGGTTGGTAGCCTACAGTTTCATCAAAATCCGTTCTGTGTTTTTGCGTGAATCAGTAACAAAAATCTATGCATCCATACTCACAAACTTTCACGTTTATGATATTAATAAGATATTTATAGTATATACATATGTATATAAATAGCCTTTGCCCGCGGATTCGCTCGCGTTATTTTATCCCCTTAGGGGTGGAATTTATTAAACCTACCTTTCTTAAGGGATGCCTACGTCATAGTAGCTTTATGCGTGCAAAGTCTCAGCCCGATCGTTTTAAAATTGACAAAGTTTCATACAAACTTTCATCCCCTATTTTATTCCCTTGGGGGTAGAATTAATCAAAATTATTTCTTAGGTGATGCCTACGTTGTAGTAGCTTTATGCATGCAAAGTCTCAGCCCGTTCGGTCTAAAATTGACAAAGTTTTATACAAACTTTCATCCTCTGTTTTATTCCCTTGGGGGTAGAATTAATCAAAATCCTTTCTTAGCGGATAGCTACGTCATAACATCTACCTGCATGCCAAATTTCAGCCCGATCCGTCCAGTGGTTTAGGCTGTGCGTTGATAGATCACTATGTCAGTCGCCTTTGAGTTATATATATTTAGATACACACACATGTATGTTGTTTGTAATAATTACTATTATTAAAACAGGTTTCTGAATGCATTAAAATATCATATTTGAGTACAGTGTAATCGTTTCGGATTTCCTTTCCGTCCCATCTGAGTATATAATTACTGTTCTTAATTGTGACGCGCGGTAGCTCACCTCACCACTGTAGCGTTAAAGATATTTTGATTTTTTATTTAATTTAATTTAAAAAACATATATATATTTGAAACTAGCCTTTGCTCTCGGCTTCGCTCGCGTTAATTTATCCCCTTAGGGGTGGGATTTATCAAAATCATTTCTTAGGGGATGCCTACGTCGTAGTAGCTTTATGCATGCAAAGTCTCAGACCGATCGGTTTAAAATTGACAAAGTTTCATACAAACTTTCATCCCCTTGGTGGTAGAATTAATCAAAACCCTTTCTTAGCGGATGCCTACGTCAAAACGTCTACCTGCATGACAAATTTCAGACCGATCCGTCCTGTAGTTTGGGCTGTGCGTTGATAGATCACTATGTCACTAGTTCATTAGTAAGTTTGTTTGGTAGTGTGCTACATGGCTTATTAGTGACGCGTACATTCCACGCAGAGTCGTAACGTGGACTGACTTTACACTCAACTTAAATCTATGTTATCTGGAGAGGTACTAATGGAAGGGTGCCGAGTGTCGACAGAAATTTATGTGAGAACATCGTAGTCTTTAATTATATAATGTTTATATTATCTCACATACTTTCGTGTTTATAATATTTTACCCTCGGCTTTGCTCGCATAACATCATTACTGGCTACTAGATACAGGCGCTGTGTTAATTGTCCAGGGTTATTTATTTATTTATATCAGTTGTCTAGTACCCATAACACAAGCTCTGCTTACCGTGGGACTAGATGGCGCTGTGTTAATTGTCCAGAGTTATTTATTTATTTGCTATAAAAAATTCTGTGATATGTTCTACTGTTTTAATACGATATATTTTCATTTAATTTGAATATAGTTGGTACATATACAAATATATGAATCTATATATATAAAAATGAATTGCTGTTTGTTAGTCTCGCTAAAACTCGACAACGGCTGAACTGATTTGTCTAATTTTAGTCTTGGAATATTTGTGGAAGTGCAGGGAAGGTTTAAACGGTGATAAAATATGAAGAAATTGCATGTAGAGTAGTAAAAACAACAATAGACAATAGAAAATTATTTATACAAATAAACTTAATTTAAACACTTTTGAACAGTCATATCAATTTGTTTTTTATCTACCACTCGTTCGGAAAGCTGTCTCATCACAAGAAGAACGAGCAAGAAACTTGTATGTTGCTCTTTTAAATAATCCTTGTAAGTTTACATTTGTAAGTCGAAATGTGTGAATACAAACTACCAACCAGCAGAATTTTTTTGGGTCAAATATAAATATACAATAAGATTAAATCAGTCGTCAGAGCAGACCAGTCCCTACAAGCAGCACTCGTTCTCGAGTATGACGGATTTTACAACAATTTTAACAACTTTTTTTTGTTTCGGTCTTTCCCTTTATAGGGAAAGGCAAAAGGACTCAGCCCATACAGCCATTGTCTTCAGTAATATTTTCTTATATTATTTTTTTTCCAATGAATTGGAATTTTTGAAATTTTTTTTGATAAATTCTGTTAGTTACAAATCTTGAAAAGTTGATATAACGTACTCAAAAATGGATTTTTAAATTTCTGGGTTCAATATATTCTGGATGGAGCGCGGAATCTCCATTCTATCATATATATTGATCAATTTATCAATAAATATTAATCGCTTTGTTTCGAGTAAGTGAGATCAATTTAGAAAACGATTCTGAATTTGGGTTAGGTTGGTTAGGTGTTATATATAGTTTCCCATACAAACTGCTGATACCTGTCTCGAAGATCTTCGCTAGCTTTCCAGTAATTTAATTTATTTTAATTCACAACACAATGCGCGCGCGTCAAACAGGGTGCGTTCAGAGATTTATTGTGTAACTAAACTTCAAAAAACCTTTGAAATTTTTAATTTTGAGGCGAAACGGAGTTTGGGGAGTCAACTAGTAATAAATGTTTACTGTATAAGTTGCAACTATATTATCCTACACAATTTGAATGAATAAATAAATAAAGATAAATGTTTAGATTTGTTTGTCTGACTGTTTGCTTATTTTTTTCATGTCTTCATCACGTGATAACAGAAGCTACCTGAGCCAACAAATTGGCCTGAACTGGTAAGCTACTAAAAACATTAAAGCACCTATTTTTTTTATCCGCCATAGACTTTTTATTAATTATAATTCAGTATAAATCACGTTTTATTTTTATTAAGTTCCCGATAATTTCAAATTCAAAAATCATTTATTCATGTAGGACATTTTAGCCGCTTATGAACGTCAAGTTTTTACATTATAATTATTTATTTTCCTACCGTCCAGTTCGGTATATTTTTTTCCCCTACCAATACAATTGAGAAGAACTGGCAAGAAACTCAATTGAATTACTGTTTTTTAAAAGCCAGTTTATTTACAATGTATAGGTATTTATATAGTATAGAAATTTGGCAGTGTTTCAATAGCCCTGATCACGGGTGAACTGAAGAGCACCGGGTAGGTGGTAAATAAATCTTTTATGGGCATATATATGAAAGAAAGAAAGAAAATTGTTTATTTGGTACACTGAAAATAATTTTTAAAATTTCATTTACATTTTATATCAATAATTAGAGTACCAACTAGGTCTCCGCTCAGCATATGTCGTGACGGGGTGCCACGACGCTGGTTTTCAGCGGATACCTTCATATATAATAAATATAATAAAATAATAATAATAATACACATACATACATAAATCCAGGCGGACAACACAAAGCAAACATTTACGACCTACTACCATCATCTGCTTCTTCCTTATCCCATTTATTTGGGGTCGGCGTAATATGTTTTTCGCTTCCATTCATCCCTGTTCGCAGTCATCGCGTTATTTACTTCCTTTCTTACCATATCATCTTTCACACAGTCCATCCATCTCTTTTTTGGCCTTCCTCTGCCCTTATAACCATCCACATTCATTTGTAACATCTTTCTTAAAATATTATTTACGACCTACTACCATATATAAATAAACATCAAACATAAACTACACACTGAAGACATAAAATAAACATAAATATATCTGTGTATATATATGCGTCTGACTTCATTTACCATCTTTCATTTACCATCTACCCGCTGCTCTTCAGATCACCCGTGATCATGACGGTTGAAACACTGCCGAAATATCGGGATCTCAACAAATATAAAACGTGGTAAGATCCTATGTAAATCATAATTATACGTATAAATAATGACAGCGTCAAAATTCAAATAGTATATACTTATAATTTCCAGGAAACAACGCACATAGCTTTTTATTTATCCGCCATAGACATTTGCTTTTTTTTTTATTTATAACTAACTACTCACCCGGCTTCGCACGGGCGTACATATATCGTCATTAATGTTATAAATGCGAAAGTAACTCTGTCTGTCTGTCTGCCTCGCTTTCAGGCCTAAACCACTGTACCGATTCAAATGAAATTTGGTACACAGATAGTATAGACCCTGAGAAAGGACATAGGCTAATTTTTAATGCGAAAAAGGGTTGTAAAGGGTTGAAAGAGCGAATGAAAGTTTGTATGAAATATTGTCATTTTAAATCTAGAAGCTTTAAACTTATTTCTTAGGCTGCTGATGAAATATAAATAAATATGACATTAAAAGTTTGTAAAAATGTTACTCTTAAGGGATTAAAAATAAAAAAATAGGGGATGAAAGTTTGTATGGAAATTCGTTATTTTTTCTTTATTTCATCACTATAATACGCGGACAAAGTTGCGGTCTCAGCTAGTTATACATATAAACCTTCCTCTTGAATCACTCTATCTATTAAAAAACCCGCTTCAAAATCTGTTGCGTAGCTGTAAAGATTTAATCATACATAGGGACGGACAGACAGCTACTTTTATAGTATACTAGCTGTCCCGGCAAAAGTTGTTTTGACTTAAAATAAAAAAAAAATTAAGAGTGGACTACCCCTAACATTTAGGGGGATGAAAAATAGATGTTGGCCGATTCTCAGACCTACTCAATACGCTCGCAAAATTTCATGAGAATCGGTCAAGCAGTTTCGGAGGAGTATGGGAACGAAAACTGTGACACGAGAATTTTATATATAAGATAATGATACTTAGGAATAATTGCACAACGTTATGTAGTTGATTTGTCTCGATCTTCTCATTCCAACGGGAATAGAATCAAAACGGTCTTCATTTTAATAACTAGCTGTACCCGCGACTTCGTCCGCGTGGAATTTACCTTTATTTTTCTAAAATAAAAGTAGCCAAGTTACTCCTTATTACATCAGATACCTGCCAAAAAAAAAGTCCCATCAAAATCGGTCCAGCCATTTCAGAGATTAGCCGCAACAAACTGACAGACAGACAAAATTTGTAAAAAAAATATTTTAGTGTATGTACCGTATTTATATTCATATGCATGTAGTAAAAAACTGTTATTTCAATGTTACAAACAAACACTCCAATTTTATTTATATGTATGTATAGATAACAACCCAGACAATTTACACAGCGCCATCTAGTCACAGAGCAATGTTTAAATGTATTTTCAGCGTTTACAATAAATAATAATTATTATTGAAACTATGATATTGTAAGTTACCAATACATTGACAGTTGGCGGTCCCGCAAGTTTTGTAACGTAGATTTTTGCCACAAAGAAATCACAGATTCGCACACTAACAATGATCAATAGTTATGACCAAAACTCACTGATTAGAAATAGAAATAATCTTTATTCAAACAAACTTAATATAAGCACTTTTGAATAGTCAAGTTTTTTGATTCTACCGTTTATTCGGAATGCAGATTCATCACAAGAAGAATAAGCAAGAAACTTGTGTATTGCTCTTTTAAATAACTATTGATTTAATTATATTTAATTAACAATAAGGATTAGGCATGCGGCAATCAACATAGAAACCGCTACGCACTTAATATCTGTTCAGTCAGATAAACATTGTCAGCGCTATGAATTTTAAGTTAGATATTTTCTACAAAAACATTATTATCATTTATAAATTCTTCCATTTTATAATAAACTTTTTTACAAAGAAAAACACACTAGTGTCGTAACGTAATATCACAAATAATAAATTAAAAACAATAAATTAATAACAGCCAAATGACAAAAGACTATTAGCGGCAGTGTTGCCAGAGAGTGTAGACTTATTTTGTGACTGGTATTATGTCATTTTCATCAATATCCAGAAATTTCCGGGCTGAAAGAAATACTATTTTTTTTTGTAAGTACACAACACTAAAGAAAAATGTTTAAACAATCATATATTTGAAATTGAAAATATTTCCAATGATCACATCTTTATAGTTGTATGTTAAAATGTGGAATAAAACTATTATATATGACTGGAAAAATGTTTTAATTGGAAGATGGTAAGACAGTGAAGTGATAACATATAATTTTGTTATTATTAGTTTTGATTATAGAATCTAAATATATATAACTCAAAGGTGAATGACGTAGTGATCTAACAACGCACAGCCCAAACCACTGGACGGATCGGGCTGAAATTTGGTATGCAGGTAGATGTTATGACGTAGGCATCCGCTAAGAAAGGATTTTGATTAATTCTACCCCCAAAGGAATAAAATAAGGGATGAAAGTTTGTATGAAACTTTGTCAATTTTAAACCGATCGGGCTGAGACTTTGCATGCATAAAGCTACTATGACGTAGGCATCCCCTAAGAAAGGATTTTGATAAATTCCACCCCTAAGGGGATAAATTAACGCGAGCGAAGCCGCGGGCAAAAGCTAGTACAAAATATAATATAAGATAACGTGATGTCCGTAGTGCTGTTCATGTATATAGGCGACAATCACCACTTACCATCGGATGGCACGTCAGCTTGTTTGGCATTACAGTGACAAAAAAATGTAGCGAAACTACATTAAAAGTACCAGGAGAACATGAGTTTATAGGCAGTTTGTTGAGACATATGACCTGTGAAATTACATTGTATGGAGACTTTTTTTTACCTCGTAGTCCTTCAGATCTCCACCGTATTAAGATCACATGATAACGTGATGTCCGTAGTGCTGTTCATGTATATAGGTGACTGTTACCACTTACCATCGGGTGGGCAGATTGTTTGACCTTCCAGTTGCTTAAGGGTAATAGCCACTGACACGGAAATTAGTGATTTTTTTTTATTTCTTTGACCGAGTATATAAACGAATGTTTGGATCAGCGTTTTTTTTTTTGAGTTTTTGAGTACACCTCTAATATTTTTTCCAAAACAAGATTAATTAAAAAATATTCAACAGTTTTAATAATATAAACGATGCCGTAGCACCTGAAAAAAATCCTCTCTATGGTCGCATCGTATAAAAAAGCCGGTAGTCCGAAAAAAAAATTATTGTAATCTGTATGAATTCAAAGGTTGAATGAAAGAAATCTCTCATTTGGGATAAGCCGCCATTGATAATTTTTTTTTTTAAATCGTTGTATCCTTAGTTAGTTTAAATGTATTTACTGTACAATAAAGTGTTACAAACAAACAAGATGTAGTTTAAAAAAAAAAGAATTTGTTTTTGAACCATCACATTAGCGTTACAAACAAACAAGATGTAGTTTAAAAAAAAAAGAATTTGTTTTTGAACCATCACATTAGCTATTTCTATTAAAAACACAAATACTCGGCTAGGCTATAAACAAACAAGATGTAGTTTAAAAAAACACCCATCACAGTGGTTATTTCTATTAAAAAATGTGTTTTTTTTTTCAGAATGACACAAATATTCGGCTAGGCTACAAACAAACAAGATGTAGTTTAAAAAATAATAATTTGTTTTTGACCCATCACAGTGGTTATTTCTATTAAAAAATGTGTTTTTTTTTTCAGAATGACACAAATACTCGGCTAGGCGTAGTTTAAAAAAATAATAATTTGTTTTTGACCCATCACAGTGGTTATTTCTATTAAAAAATGTGTTTTTTTTTCAGAATGACACAAATACTCGGCTAGGCTATAAACAAACAAGATGTAGTTTAAAAAAACACCCATCACAGTGGTTATTTCTATTAAAAAATGTGTTTTTTTTTTCAGAATGACACAAATACTCGGCTAGGCGTAGTTTAAAAAAAATATAATTTGTTTTTGAACCATCACATTAGCTATTTCTATTAAAAAATGTGTTTTTTTTTCAGAATGACACAAATACTCGGCTAGGCTACAAACAAACAAGATGTAGTTTAAAAAAAATATAATTTGTTTTTGAACCATCACATTAGCTATTTCTATTAAAAAATGTGTTTTTTTTTTTAGATGTTTTTTTTTTTATATAAATAATTACAGAATATAATTTGTTTTTGACCCATCACAGTGGTTGTTGCTCTTTTTTAATAGATGTTTTTTTTTTATATAAATAATTACAGTATAACAAGTTTCTATTAAAAAATGTGTTTTTTTTTCAGAATGACACAAATACTCGGCTAGGCGAAGGACCTCAACTGCAACTGTCGAGGTTGGAGCGTCACCACAGCGGACGGTACGCTTGCACCGTCGACAATGGCGTGGGTACACCTATTGTTACTGAATTCCAGCTACAAGTGCTATGTAAGTAATATTAGAGCAAATTCAGCTATGGGTACCCAATGGTTACGTGGGCGCGCGCCGTCATCATTCTATTCAGTATTCCAGTAGCTAGGACCAATTTACTAAAATATTCTTGTAACCCGTGCTTTAGAAATACTGAACAATATCAGACATGATATTGATATATATAATTGCAGTCTGCCGAAGACCATTCAAAAGTATCTAGAATTTTTATAATGTTTATATTATGTATGTTATAAATTGATGTATATATGAATGTATAAAAATAAGTTGCAACACCGATTTGGATATACTGTAATGGTGTTGTAATATTGAAATGAATAAATAAATAAATAAAAATAAATAAATATTTCTTCTACTCGATGTATTTATATTATTTTGTTTGATTCCGCTACAATTAACATGTGTGAGACTACGAATATTCTGTGTGGAAACCTGACCAGCGCTACGACCTTCTCCAGTGGCGATCAAATTCCGGCCGTTATTGAGTCTACACCCATATCGCGACACGTGTTTCGCCTCTGAACGGGGCATCATCAGGCGTTAATTAGAGTTCAGGTACAGCTCGGAAGCCTAGTGTTGACTCGTCGGCGACCAATCCGCGACTATATAACCGCGATATTCGAGTGAAAAACTTAGGCTGCTTTTATTTTAGAAACATAAAGTTAAATTCCACGCGGACAAAATCACGGGAATTTAATAAAGCCTTATTTTTTTAATTGTCAATATTCATTGGTTTTTATCATCACTTTCAGATCCGCCAGAGATAACAGTGGAGAGGTCGTGGGTACATACAGGCGAAGGTTTCAGGGCGGAACTACTATGTACAGTGCACGCAGACCCGCCGGCAGAGGTTAGTATCAAAACAGTTTTCAATTACACTATATCATTACATAGTATAAAATAAAGTCGCTGTCGCTGTCTGTCCGTCCCTATGTACGCTTAAATCTTTAAAACTACGCAACGGATTTTGAAGCGGTTTTCTTTAATAGAAATAGAAGAAATAGAAATAATCTTTATTAAAATAAACTCATTACAAGCACTTTTGAATAGTCATATTTTGATTCTACCACTCATTCGGAATGCAGATTCACCACAAGAAGAATGAGCAAGAAACTTGTGTGTTGCTCTTTTTAATAGATGTTTTTTTTATATAAATATTTACAGTATAACAAGTAAGAGGCATGCGATCAACATAGAAATCGCTACGCACTCATTATTAGTGTAATCAGATAATATTGTCAGTGCTATGGATTTAAAGTTTTTCTATAAAAACATTATTATCGTTAACGAATTCTTCAATTTTATAGCAAGCTTTTTTGCAAAGGAACTGTTTTATTTGACATTTAAATATTTTTTCTGGCAGATTTATAACAGACTCTGGTATTTTATTGTAAAACCTTACGCAATTGCCATAAAACGAATTACTAACTTTAGCCAAACGACATTTAGGTAAAATCAGTTTGTTATTGTTACGTAAGCTTTTATTGGTGCAATCACTAACTCTTTTGATAGATAATAGATAGAACGATTCTAGAAGAAGGTATATATAAACCTTCTTCTAGAATCGTTCTATCTATGGGATGCTTACGTCATAGTAGCTTTATGCATGCAAAGTCTCAGCCCTATCGGTTCAAAATTGACAAGGTTTCATACAAACTTTCATCCCTATTTTATCCCCTTAGAGGTGGAATTTATCAAAATCAAAATCCTTTCTTAGCGGATGCCTACGTCATAACATCTACCTGCATGCCAAATTTCAGCCCGATCCGTTCAGTGATTTGGGCTGTGCGTTAATAGATCATGTTTATGTCAGTCACCTTTGAGTTATATATATTTAGATTTGTATTTGACCCTAATAAATTAGTGCTGGTTGGTAGTTTGTTTGTACACGTTTCGACTTGTAAATGTAAACTTACAAGGATTATTTAAAAAAGCAACACACAAGTTTCTTGTTCGTTCTTCTTGTGATGAGACAGCTTTCCGAACGAGCGGTAGATAAAAAAAATTGTTATGACTATTCAAAAGTGCTTAAATTAAGTTTATTTGAATGAATTATTTTCTATTCTATTCTATTCCTGTTTCAGGTGGGGTGGTACCAGAATTCGTTCCCGTTGAGTGCATCCGACAGAATTACAATGTCGGCGCGCGGCAATAACCACACTCTCCTAATAGGGAACGTTCAACCTGAGGACTTTGGTAATTACAGGTAAGCTGAACATATCTTAGGGACCGTTCAAGTATTACCTAACCCCCCGCCCCCCTATAGTGCGTAGGGGAGCGAGGGGGCTTTGCTTTATAAATATATGTTCAAATTCAAATTCAAATTCAAAGTATCTTTATTCATGTAGGTCTATTACAGACTCTTATGATATGTCAAATCTACCGTCAGTATCAGTATATGAGGTATATAACTTCCTCATTGACATAGATAATGTAATAAACGCTAAAGAAACTTATTGTAAATTTAGTAATGACATATTGTAATTTAAATAATGTAAATTAAATATTGTAATGGGTGAAAACTGTGATTGGTACAGTTTATGCTGTAAATAATATAAATGACGTAGTGGAGTAACTTGAAACAGTCATGCTCGCTATAAAGTTCAAACTTGTGGCTGCGTGGTGGGAAGGTCGATGTGCTCCCTCTAATATGGTTGAGTGCAATGACGGCTGGCTCATCCGTCATACTCGTGTACGGGTGTTGCTTGTGGGGAATGGTCTGTTCAGGTTGCGAACACTGATTAGATTTTTTTATTTTTTTGATTTTTTTATATAGCATATGCTGGTGGTCACTCTATTCTCTCAAATTTGAATTTAAATGAAATAGTATTATTGTAAATATGTACAACATAAAAAAAAATACGAGCTGAGTTTCTTGTCAGTTCTTCTCATCTCGAAATCATTCCGAACTGACGGTAGATTTGACATATCATAAGAGTCTGTAATAGACCTACATGAATAAAGATAGTTTGAATTTTGAATTTTGAATTTTGAAATGATAATAATGTTTTTGTAGAAAATATCTAACTTAAAATTCATAGCGCTGACAATGTTATCTGATTGAACAGAGATTAAGTGCGTAGCGGTTTCTATGTTGATTGTCGCATGCCTAATCCTTGTTGTTAATTAAATATAAGTAAATAAATATTTATTTAAAAGAGCAACACACAAGTTTCTTGCTTATTCTTCTTGTGATGAATTTACATTCCGAATAAGCGGTAGAATAAAAAACTTGACTATTCAAAAGTGCTTACATTAAGTTTATTTGAATAAAGATTATTTCTATTTCTATTTTTATTTGCTTATTTTAGACTAGCTGTAGTCGCGAATTGGTCCGCGTGAATGTAACTTTATTTTTGTTAAATTTTTTTTTTTGCTAAAGTTAAAGTAGCCTGAGTTACTCCCTATTATATCAGATACCTATCAAAAATGTCCCCTTAAAATCGGTCCAGCCATTTCACCAATGTTATTTTGGTGTATGTACCATATTTATTTTCATATGCATGTAGTAAAAAACGGTTATTTCAATATTACAAACAGATTCTCCAATTTTATTTACATGTATAGATTTCAGGCAACTAGGCCTATATTATAAATACTTATAGATTAACATACATATGAAACAATATTTTAAAACTAATATATTGATATTGTCTGTATGGTCATGGAAATGCATAGGAACGAGGATAATATTTTAAGAAAGATGTTACAAATGAATGTGGATGGTTATAAGGGCAGAGGAAGGCCGAAAAAGAGATGGATGGACTGTGTGAAAGATGATATGGTAAGAAAGGAAGTAAATAATGCGATGACTGCGAACAGGGACGAATGGAAGCGAAAAACATATTACGACGACCACAAATAAATGGGATAAGGAAGAAGCAGATGATGATGGTCATGGCACTGATGACGGCAATCTGCCATGGTTCCGGCGATACACCACACCCTTCGGCCAGTAGTCCTCCTTCATGATATACCCATTGACCTCAGGAAATGACTAAGGTCGATGGTGATGTTTGGCTCTCGAAGCTTTTTAATTGTATTTTGGACACTGAGACTGCTGATGCCTGACAGCTGGAGAAAGAGAATGTTGGTCCCGTACTATATAACAAGGGAGATGTAAGAGACTGCGGGAAATTTCGTGGTATTTAACACGCACTACACACCCTTAAGATCTAGGAGCGAGTTATAAATGAATAATCTAAATATATATAGATATACTGACATAGTGATCTATCAACGACAGACCAAACCACTGGACGGATCGGGCTGAAATTTGGCATGCAGGTAGATGTTATGACGTAGGCATCCGCTAAGAAAGGATTTTGTTAATTCTACCCCCATGTGGATAAAATAGGGGATGAAAGTTTGTATGAAACTTTGTCAATTTTAAACCGATCGGGCTGAGACTTTGCATGCAAAAAGCTACTATGACGTTTCCCCTAAGAAAGGATTTTGATAAATTCCACCCCTAAAATAAATTAACGCTCTAGTAAATATATAAATAGTAATGCCTTCAAATTTTAATAAGTTTATCTGAAAATAAATATAAATTTACTGCTGGGAAAGGAAACACCGAAGCAGTACATGAGAAGGCTACTAATAGAGAAAACCCGTCAAAAAAAATGTTATGGGCGACTTTCATAGATTTCAAAAAGGCTTTTGACCGTATAGCAAGAGCTTTAATATGGTAGATCTTAGGGTCTCAGAACATTCTTGAGCGTACATAAAGCTTATTACAAATATGTATTATAACGTACAATATAGTGTCAGTCCAGCAGGTGTTAATAAGATGATGCGTTAATGTTGAAGTGGTGGTTCGTCAAGGCACTGCTCTTAGCCCTATATTATACATAGTCATCAATTACCTCACAGAGAACATCCTGAAACCTGTTTTGTGGAACCTCTTATATGCTGATGACGTGGCTTTGATATATATAGATACGGAAAGTAAAGGAAATCTCTCGAGCCTAGTGGATTGCACATTAGTAGAACTAAGACCAAGTACATATATGGCACTAAACTTCTTCCTTTTCCCTTGTTTTGGTTTAAATTGAAGTTTCCTATTTTTTTTCTATTGGTTTGTTTCGGCTATTGTCAGATGTTTGTAGCACCTGTAGCACTGCGATCTACATAGATCTATTGTGCTCGCCCTTTTTCAAAGTTTGCTACCTAGATCCGTCAGGAACAAGAATTGAAGGATATTCTTAGGAGCGATGGTTTTTATCTCCTCGGGGAAGAGTGTAAACTTTCCAAAGGAGATATTTCGTTTATGCATGAGTGGGCTACAACCACGTAGGATGTGTAGCGGCGTTTCCTCTTTAGTTTGGCAGAATCTGCAGATTCTTGTCGTGCATAGGCCTAGTTTAGCCGAAGGTTCCTAAGAGCAACTGTTATTTGGGTGAATCTACAACGTATTGTATATTTCAGTGATCGATTACCTCGAGATCTCCGCATCGGTTGTATTCTCTTGAGGATAAAATAAACTACTAAATCGTAGAGTCATTCGGTGCGTTTGTGTGTACAGCTGCGTAGCTGACAACAGCCTGGGCCGCGCGCGGCAGCACGTGGAGGTGTCGGGGCGGCCCGGGCCTGCGCGGTTCACGTCGCCGCCGCTCGCGCGCCGCGCCGCCGCCTACCTGCTCGCCTTCAGCGTCGACTCCTACCCGCCGCTCGACGAGCTGCGCCTGCTGTACCGGCAGCTGGCGGTGCGTACCCCCCCTCTGTCTCCATCTAGCTCCGTCTCGCTCGCCCGCGCCGCCGCCTACCTGCTCGCCTTCTGCTCTACGGCGTGCTCTACTCTACGGCTGGAACGAGGTGCGTGCCGCCTCGCTCTCTCTCTCTCTCTCTCCCCGCCCCCGCCTCTACAAGCGGTAGCTGGCGGTGTGTTCCTTTGTTACGGCATACCTTCGTGCCCTGTTCACTACTATATTTCAACCGAAACATATCTTACCTAGAGGTGAGACCTAGGTATCCCCCCTAGGTAGTAAACGGACATCGAGTCTATGGTCAGCGTGATTACTTAAAACAGAGACTAACTAGAGTGTGTGTGCGCAGATCAACGAGTCGTTCCAGCAGCCGGGCCGCTGGCACGACGTGGTGCTGCCGGCGCCGCGGCCCGCCCCCGCGTCTAGCTCCGTCTCGCTCACGCACCGCGTCACGCACGAGCTGCGCGGCCTGCAGCCCGGCGCCGTCTACGAGGCCATCGTGCAGGCCAAGAACCGCTACGGCTGGAACGAGGTGCGTGCCCGCCTCGCTCCCTCTCTCTCTCTCCCCGCCCCCGCGTCTAGCTCCGTCTCGCTCACGCACAGAATCCTCAACGGCCTCAGCTATGCTTAGTCTAAATCTATGATGTTATTTATTTTCATTATTTAATTGCAGGTCAGCGACATCTTCCAATTCCACACGCTAGGGAACGCGCACAGCGCGCACGCGGACGAACTGACACCAATGTTCGCGTGCGCCAACATCCACCCACTGGCGTTTTACGTCATGCTAACCGCCTTATATATAACGATCGCGCTCGCCTGATTGGCCGACCGTCGGTTCGAAATTTAAACATCGTTTCGCGACTTTCGAATTTTTTAACCGCTTTTTATCGTAAAACGAATGGACTTGACACCAAAATTAGGTGAATTTAAGTGTTGTGACAGAAAGACGACCTATTATTTACTAGTACGCTTACGATGAGAAATTTAACTGACAGTGATTGACCATAAACAATAATTCATGTATTTTAAAATTCGAACATACTGTTAGAAATGGCGCACTATCGATTCGAGTAGGTAGAGTAGTAGAGTTCTACTCTTAATTCCAATACCAATTGGTCGATATTAGTTTATTTTGTATTTTTAAATACTCTTAAACCCAATGCCGATCGGTCTTTTATACTTTTAAATTGCGCAATAACAAAGTATAAGGTCCATATTTGTATTGAAAGAACTAGTCGATATTTTAATAGATTTGTTTCTTGATTCAAAATTGGATTGGAATTGATATTCAGAAATCTACAGTTGTCATTATGTATAGTATAGGCTAATCGTGCAAAAATTTGTGAGAGTGCAAAAACTACTAAAGGAATTTGAATGAATTCTGATGCACAATTAGATCATATCCTATATTCATATAAAGGATACTTATTTACTCGAATAACACGAGTAATATCGCAGAATATGGCTCATACAAAATAAATATCGCAGCTAAAAATTATCAGTCGCTAGCAAAAGTTACAGAACTGTAATAATTTGACGTTTTCGTAAATTTGTTGCGTCCGATATATGGCAACATTGTCAGTTAGATTTGTACGTAATATTTAAATTTACGAATTGTAAATAATAATATTCATTGTTCAGACATTGTCATCCTGATATTTTTGTATTTTAATTTAAATCTTATGTAATATTTCATAAGATTTATTATTATTTGGTTATCCAATGATCTCGAGGTAACAATAAATGCGTTTTTTATTTCATAATCTGGATTGTCTTTAATAAATTAATTATCGGGAAATGAAAACAAAGTTATAATCTACATATAATTAGTAAAAATCACGGGATCTTAAATTTAAAACAGTATATAAAATAATACCAATATATATTAATATAGTTCAGAAATCATTCTGAAAAAAAATTAAATAATTAAATTTTTTTTCTCAATTTTTTTATGGTTCTGTATTTCCCTCTTCAGGGAAAGGCAAAAGGACTCAGCCCATACAGCCATTGTCTTCATTACTGTTTTCTTATAAATAATTTAATACTACATTTAATTCTTTATGATCATTTATGACATTCTCAATATCCATTGTTTGTAACAATAAAACTCTGTGTTAACACAGATTAAAAATATCGGTCACAAAAAAAAGATTTCTCTTAATTATATTAGAAAAAACCTTTCACTATCCTATTTTTTCTAAATACAGTTTTTAGGTTACAATAGTGCTGTGCTATTTTTTTTATTTATTTTACATGTTACATTGTGGAATCACCTTCCAGCAATGATATTTCCGAACTGATACGATATTGAAACCTTCAAGAAAAGAGGTTATTCCTTCTTAAAACGCCGGCAACGCATTTGCAAATCCCCTGGTGTTGCGGGTGCTCATGGGCGGCGGTAATCACTTACCATCAGGTGAGCCGCAAGCTCGTTTGTACCCTATGAACAAAATAAATCTATTTAAAACATAATTTACCTTTTTTCTTACTCTAAATAGAAAACATAACCTAAAAACTTTAAAAATATATATTCATTTTTTATAAGTATTTTTAATAAATACAACTGCACAAAATAAACGCGCAATAAAGAAATACTCTATCAATAGCACTATGTGGCTTTTTATACGCCCCGACTGATGCTAAGCACTTTAATTATATATAATATGTAAACATACAGTTAACACTATCCGTAATTTAGAATCAGATAAAAAAACGAAAATACCATTTTTTAAATAAGTAAGTAAATTTACTCTTTTTTTGTCTCGATTTTAGAAACAATAATATAGTTGTTATTAACTGGAATCTAAGAACATAAAAAAAAAGATATACCTTTTTTTTAATGAATAAGTAAATTGACTCTTTTTGTCTAAACTTTAGAAACACAGTTATTACTAACTGGAATCTAGGAACAGAAAAAAAAACAAATATGACTTTTTTAAATGAGGAAATAAATTGAGTTTATTATTTTGTATTGGCTTTAGAAACACAGTTGTTACTAATTGGAATCTAAGAACAGATAAAAAAACAAATATAACTTTGTTTTTAAATAAGTAGGTACGTAAATTTACTCTTTTTGTCTCGACTTTAGAAACACAGTTATTACTAACTGGAATCTAGGAACAGATTAAAAAACTAAAAATATCTTCTTTTTAATTAGTAAAATTTACTATATTTTTTAATTTCCCATTACATCCATATAAATGAATTTATTAATAATACGTAGTAATATTTAATATTAAGCAATAAAAGTGTTAGTGATAAAGCTATCTTAGATTTTAAATGAATATTATATAATAATGTGTATTTTTATCTCGAAATTTCTATCTCATTTATAAATGTACCTAAAATATACACATTTCTGTTCTTCTCTATACATTTTGTTTTTTTGTAAAAATCTGTGGTTTGTAAAAATATTTTCTCTAATAAGTATGCGAACTAGTTTTTTTAGTGAAAAATATATTTAGGTGCAATATTAATTTAAGCGAAATTCAAAAGCAATATTAAAAACACATCACTAGTTTATTCTTTATAGGAAATATATTTGTATCAAAATATTTTTTTGTGTCAAAATGTTATTTTTTTTAATATGAAAAACTGCCAGCAACATTTTGTAGCGATGTTTTTTCTAGTTCGTTCTTTTTTATACTGTCTTAGACTGCATGTAACGAAATGTATTTAAAAAAAACTAATCGGCCATAAACAACCTTTTTAATAATGACTAGACGTAATTTTTTTAGAAAAAGTATAAATATATAATGTAACATCCACTTTAGTTAAGATGAAACGTTGTAAAAATTCGATGGGCTGTAGAAATCGCCTTTTTTGATGGAAATTAAAGAAAACTGAATCCTGTAAGTAGCTAATAAAGGTGTAAGTTTATTACAATGACCTGTTTTATTTAATTCACATTCAAAATATCTTTATTCATGTAGGTCTATTACAGACTCTTATGATATGTCAAATCTACTGTCAGTTCGGAATGATTTCGAGATGAGAAGAACTGACAGTTTCAACATTTAACAGTCGCTCGTTAAATTTGAGTCGATTGTACTCTTAAAAATGTGGTATCTTCATAACTATATACAGAAATTTAATGATCTATGCCTTCGTCTTTATGAGAATTGAATCCATACCCCCCCACCTGAAATTATAATGCGGTATAATGCATTATACATACATACCCGTAACCTCACCCTGAAATTAAAATACATAATAATAATAATCTCAGGACAATTCACACAGCGCCATCTAGACCCAAGTTAAGCTAGCTAAAGCTTGTGTTATGGGTGATACAAATATATATATATATATAAATTTTTTTTCGTAAATACATACATATTATACATCGAAAACACCCAGACCGACACAAACAATCATACTCATGAATACAAATGTTTGTGCAGTGCGAGGAATCGAACCCGCGACCATTTGTTGTTTGTCTGCGATGTACTCCTAATCTACTGAACCAATTACAAATTTGATTTGCACATTGTGTGCAATTTGATCCAACTTGAAAGATAGGATAGCTTACATCTCAATTTATAGTCGCAATATTATTTTATTCAAGAACCTTAGCCGCAGCAACGCGTGGCCGGGTCTGATAGTATATATTATACTAGCTACCCACCCGGGCTTCGCACAGGTGTACATGTATTATACACATAAACCTTCCTCTTGAAGCACTCTATCTATTTAAAAAACCGTTTCAAAATCTGTTGCGTAGTTTTAAAGATTTAAGCGTACATAGGGACGGACAGACAGCGACAGCGACTTTGTTTTATACTATGTAATGATATATATGTCTGTGTAATGATAATCTTACTGTTAAATAATAGAATGTTAGAAAAATAACATTCATTTCAAGATATTGTTTTAATAACAAGTATTGTACAGAACAACTATTAAAATTATTATCAATAATTCAAACTCAATTCTAATATTCCATCAAACATTATTAATAGACTAGCTTTAGCCTGCGGCTTCGCTCGCGTTAATTTATCCCCTTAGGGGTGGAATTTATCAAAATCCTTTCTTAGGGGATGCCTACGTCATAGTAGCTTTTTTTTTTTTTATGGATGATAATGGAATGGTGCATCCGCCTGCGCTAACGGTTTACGCTGGCGGGGCACCAGTGGAGGATGATAAGATGAGCATGAGGTCAGGTCAGTTAGCCCATCGTGACAAATTCATCATGAATTTATCACGATGGTTTCCAGGGGGAACCGCGTGGAGGTCGACCTGACATGGTACATTGCTAGCAATGAGATTATCAGTCCACATTACTAACAATCCCCTTTCCCCCCTCATAGTAGCTTTATGCATGCAGTCTCAGCCCGATCGGTTTAAAATTAACAAAGTTTCATATAAACTTTCATCCCCTATTTTATCCTTTTGGGGGTAGAATTAATCAAAATCCTTTCTTAGCGGATGCCTACGTCATAACATCTACCTGCATGCCAAATTTCAGTCTGATCCGTCCAGTGGTTTGGGCTGTGCGTTAGATAGATCACTATGTCAGTCACCTTTGAGTTATATATATTTAGATATGTTAAATAAACAAGTATATATATGTATTATTTTTTTGTATCTATTTGTTATAATTTTTCTTTTTTTTTCTTTTAGTTATTAAAGTGCACCGCCTTGTTATCTCTGATCAACGCGACTGTTGACTGGTAGAGAATGGCATCAGGTATTAAGTCCGCCATGAAACAGTTTTGTGTGCAAAAGAATAAATAAATAAATAAACAAAATATATTTAATAAAACACTCTTGTTTACAATATTTCATTTATTTGAACAATTCTTAACATAAAACAAATAGTTACTGAAAATATTCAGGCTGAAACTAATCTATTTATACATTAAAATTATATTAATTTTTATTCTCTGTAATTATAAAAACTGAAAACGATTTTTAAAATTATCAGAAAAAAAAATATTTGGTTTTGTTTATCCTATAGAGGAAAAGGAACAGTGCCCATACAGCCATATCTCATTTAGAACATAACGTGAAATCTTCATACTAGATTTAGAAAGAAATTTCTCAGGAAATTCTGGCATATAATTCGCGTTGAATTATACTAATATGTAATTATATTACTACTAATGAATAAAAAATGACTGACGGAATAAAAAAAAATGCGCGGGAACCGTTTTAATTTTATATTTAGAACATATAAAATTAAAACGGTTCCCGCGCAATCCGTATATTTTACAAACAATGGCCGTCGTTCCAATTATGAAATAATTGTAATGTTTCCCGCGTTGATGTTCTTTCATAATAAGTTAATAATATATTATTAATCAGAATTATTTATAAATAATTCAAAATAACATGCACATTTCCCGCGCTTTTGTTCTTTTCCATCAAATATATATTTATTCGAAATTCAAAATAACAGACATGTCTCATTTTTCCATAAAAATTCAAAATAGAAAACATGTCTGTTTTTTGTTTGTACCTAAGCACATATTTACTGCAACATTTAATTTTACCACCTTGTTCTCTGGTTCTAACTACCCACATATAATTTGAAAATTTTTATTTTTTTTTATTTGTAAATATCACTGAAGATTGTGTGTCCAAAAAAAAAAACTTTAAAATCAAATATAAAAGTTAATCCTTGACTTTTCAATAATCTCGCCTTTGAAAACGTAATAAAAGTTTCAAAGACATAAAAATTATTCTCGCTCTTTATTCTATACCATATCCATACAAATAATATGACTAATTCCATTTTCAAATTAATAAGAAAAATATCACGTTCTTTTATTTTCATAGAATAGAATAGAATACAACTATTGTAACTAGTGTTTCAATGTAAGAAAACTTACATTGAAGCACTTTTGAATAGTCATAACATTTTTTTAATCTACCGCTCATTCGGAAAGCTGTCTCATCACAAGAAGAACGAGCGAGAAACTTGCGTTGCTTTTTTAAATAATTTTATTATTACTTTACATTTTTAAATTTGTGAATACAAACCACCAATTAGCAGTAATTCAATTAAATACTCAAATAGAAAAAATATTGAATATATAACCAACTGGTTAAACATAAACACGGCGAATCTAATTTTAAAATATTAGTCACGTCTCCCGCGCCTTCCTCCTATTCCATAAAATATGTAAAAAAAAATCTTTTGTTTACAAACTACATAACCTGTTCCATTTTTAAAATAATAAACATTTCCCGCGCTTTTTACTTGTCTCCAGCGATTTGTATTGTACATACAATTTCAAAATTATAAACATTTTCCCGCGCTTTTTACTTGTCTCCAGCGATTTGTATTGTACATAATATGACCAGTTCCAATTTCAAAATTATAAACATTTTCCCACGCTTTTTTTCTTCTGTCTCCAGCGATTTGTATTGTCAATATGACCTGTTCCAATTTCAAAATTATAAACATTTTCCCACGCTTTTATTCTTCCTTCTCGGGGGGCTTGTGTTGCCATAACATTTCCTGTTTTTCTACTATTCTACTGAATTCGGGGAGCATTCTCGTAATGGAGAAGCTATGAACGACTTCGTATGCACCGTCTTTATATGTAACTTCACAGAAGCTGACGTTTTGAAGTATTTCTTACAAAAATGGCACTGATGTGGCTCAATTCCACGGTGTATCTGAAACAGTAATAAAAACTAAATAGTATATTACACTTTCAACTTGGCCTCGGTGGTTTAGCGGTTTAACATACCGCTTTACGACCGATGGTCGCGGGTTCGATTCCTCGCACGGCACAAATCATGAGTATGATTGTTTGTATCTGTCTGGGTGTATTCTATGTATAATATGTATTTGTTACAATATATATGTTTAGGAAAAAAAGTATCTATGAAAAAAAATATCAGTTGTCTAGTACACATAACACAAGCTCTGCTTACCGTGGGACTAGATGGCGCTGTGTTAATTGTCCAGGGTTATTTATTTATTTATATCAGTTGTCTAGTACCCATAACACAAGCTCTGCTTACCGTGGGACTAGATGGCGCTGTGTTAATTGTCCAGGGTTATTTATTTATTTATATCAGTTGTCTAGTACCCATAACACAAGCTCTGATGACGTTGTGTTAATTGTCCATGTTTATTTATTTATTTATATCAGTTGTCTAACCCAAACACAAGCTCTGCTTAAATTGGGAAAATGGCGCTGTGTTAATTGTCCAGGGTATATTTATTTATTTATATCATATGTCATGTAGTAAACACAAGTTCTGCTATTACCGTGGGACTAGATGGCGCTGTGTTAATTGTCCAATGTTATTTATTTATTTATATCAGTTGTCTATTACCCAATAACACAAGCTGCTTTGGGACTAGATAGCGCTGTGTTAATTATCCATGGTTATTTATTTATTAATATCAGTTATCTCGTACTCATAATACAAGCTCTATTTAATTTTAAAACTAGATGGCGCTGTGTTAATTGTCCAGGGTTATTTATTTATTACTAGCTGTTCCCGCGACTTCGTCTGCGTGGAGTTTTAATTTATATATATATATATATATACAATAAAAGAATTATTGTAAAATAAAAGTAGCCTAAGTTACTCCTTACTACATCAGTTACCTACCAAAAAAGTGCCGTCAAAATCGGTCCACCCATTTCAGAGATTAGTCGGAACAAACAGACCTACAGACAGACAAAAATTGTAAAAAATGTTATTTTGGTGTATGTACCGTATTTATATTCATATGCATGTAGTAAAAAACGGTTTTTTCAATATTACAAACAGACACTACAATTGTATTTATACATATAGATGACAATGTAAATTACAAACACAATATTAAAAAATTCTATTACTTACCAATAAAACATGTTTGACTAGCGCGCCTCGTATTTTGAATCTCTTGCCACAATAACTGCACTGGTGGGGCCTCTGCTCATTATGTACCCTCATATGAGACTAGAAAGAATAAAATAAAAATATTTGCATAGCATAAAACATAGTCACCGCCGCTGTCTGTTCACTTATATCTCCTAAACTACGCAATGGATTTTAATGCAGTTTTCAGCAATAGATAGAGTGATTCAAGAGGAAGGTTTATATATATAATACAACAAGAATATATAATAGAACAAGCTGGGAAATTCAAAGTTTTGTAATGTACACAGATACATTACAAAACTTTTAATTTCACAGCTTAAAAAGTTTTAAAAGTTTAAAAGTTCCGTCAAAATCGGTTCAGCCATTTCAGACAAAAATTGTAAAAAATGTTATTTTGGTGTATGTACCGTATATTGTATTCATATGCATGTAGTAAAAAACAGTTATTTCAATATTACAATCAGACACTCCTGGGACTTTCATTGGCAGGTAGCTGATGTAATAAGTAACTTAGCTACTTTTATTTTAGAAAAATAAAGTTAAACTTGACGCGGTCATTATTTAACCACGGTCAAGATCAAGTGCTTCAACCACCATGATCGCAGACTATTTGTGTACCGAATTTCATTTAAATCGGTTCAGTAAAAGCGAGACTGACAGACAATCAGAGTTATATACTGTTTTAAATTTGACGAGTTCATTATTTATATGTATAATTAGTAAAAACCACGGTCAAGATCAAGTGCTTCAACCACCATGATCGCAGACTATTTGTGTACCGAATTTCATTTAAATCGGTTCAGTAAAAGCGAGACTGACAGACAATCAGAAACATATACGGTTTTAAATTTGATACTGTGGTCATTTGCCGAGATGAATATCGAGCGTATAATTAGTAGCAACAAACGAACACTTGACCACGTTTTGTATTTATTTGCTTATATTTAGTTTACCCGTGATCATGGTGGTTGAAACATTACCGAAATTTCGGGAACTCAGCAAATAAATATAAAACGTGGTAAGATCCCGTGATTTTTACTAATTATACGTATAAATAAAGTTAAAAAACTTGACGTTCATAAGCGGCTAAAATGCCCTACATGAATAAATGATTCTTGGATTTTGAATTTTTTGAATTTTGAAATTCCACGCGGACGAAGTTGCGTGTACAGCTAGTGTTGGGGTTCACATCGATATTGCCAAAAAATCTGATATTTTAAAAATATTTAAAGAAGGTAGTTTCATTATGTCATCAACGGTTATTCATGATTACTATATTTGTTCCATTTTAACTGCCTGATATTGTAAATATTTAAAAAATTGAGCTTTTTCTAATATTCATAATTTAAATCTAATATTAATATTATGATTTAAATAGTCAATACTTGATAAAGAAGTCCTTCTTTATCATAGTTAATCGCATTGTTAAAGTAAAAGTAAGTGTATTGACTATTTAAAAAACATCAATATTCATAATATTAATATTAGATTTAAAGACAAACTTGCTGAATCAATAGGTCTTTTAGGGAATATATAAAAATTTACAATAAGATACCAAAGGATATATTGGAATTACCCTTAAATAAATTCAAAATATCTGTTAAATCATATTTACTGAGCAAGGCCTATTACTCACTAAACGATTACTTGAATGACGAGCGTGCATGGCAATAGTTTTCATGTTCGGGATTTTCATTTAATGTTAGACATAGACACCTATATAAATATACATTGTAAATAAACTGGATTTAAAAAAAAAAGTAATTCAATTGAGTTTCTTGCCAGTTCTTCTCCATTGGATCTATATACCGAACTGGACGGTAGGGAAAATAAATTATAATGTAAAACTTGACGTTCATAAGCGGCTAAAATGTCCTACATGAATAAATGATTTTTGAATTTTGAATTTTGACTGTTTGACTATTTTAAAAACTGGGAGCTACCTCCCAGTTTTCAATTCTTCAATGCGATGAGATCATTAAGATTGCAGCAAGCGTTACGAACGGACGTGTGGAAAAGATTTTGTAAAATACTGTTGAAAATATAAGAAAAGTGATTATCAACTGTGAGTATTGTTTTATTTATAAAGTTATCTTATTAATATCATGTAAATCATCATCCATCGGTATCGTTAAACTAGTTGCGTATAACCCCCACTCATATCTTCTGTATAAAAGGGAGGAAAGAAAGAAAGAAAGAAAGAACGAACGAACGAAAGAAAGAAAGAAAGAATCTTTATTCAAATAAACTCATTACAAGCACTTTTGAATAGTCATATTTTGATTCTACCACTCATTCGGAATGCAGATTCATCACAAGAAGAACGAGCAAGAATCTTGTGTGTTGCTCTTTTGAATAGATGTTTTTTTATATAATAATTACAGTATAACAACTAAGAGGCATGCGATAATCCACATAGAAGTCGCTACGCACTCATTATTAATGTAATCAGATAATATTGTCAGTGCTATGGATTTAAAATTTTTCTATAAAAACATTATTATCGTTAACGAATTCTTCAATTTTATAGTAAGCTTTTTTGCCAAGGAACTGTTTTATTTGACATTTAAATTTTTTTGTGGCAGATTTATAACAGATACTGGGTTTTTGTAAGCCGCGGCATTCGGTGATTGAGCACAGGATGTGCTGGTTGTAATTTAATTGCTAAAGTCTTAGAGACAAATTTACATTAATGTTATATAGTTGTTATTTTATTATAATACATACTTTTACTACTACATAGAGTTGATATATCTTACACTAGTGTGCCAATAAAATCTTATATATAAAATTCTCGTGTCACAGTTTTCGTTCCCATACTTCTCCGAAACGGCTTGACCGATTGTCATGAGATTTTGTGAGCGTATTGAGTAGGTCTGAGAATCGGCAACATCATCAACATCGGCAACATTTTTCATCCCCCTAAATGTTAGGGGTAGTACACCCTAATTCTTTTTTTATTTTAAGGCAAAACAACGTTTGTTGGGACAGCTAGTATATAAAAAAAATTACCTTCAATGCAAGCAGTAGAGAAAATCTCTGGGAGCACACGATACACTTGTAATCATTCTCTATTGTATGCGTTCTGAGATGAGTTTTATAACCGGTTTCCTGAAAGAATAATAATAAAATAATCTCAGGACAATTCACACAGCGCCATCTAGACCTAAGTTAAGCTAGCTAAAGCTTGTGTTATGGGTACTAGATAACTGATACATATACATAGATATATATGTCATAACTATTCCGTAACCGTTTACCATCAGATGGGCCGTATGCTTGTTTGCCACTTATGTGGTTTTTTTTATTGTTATTATGGGACACAGTCTAATAATGTCTAGTAAGACAAATTCAATATTGTCTACTAAGCACTGCTGTGTCTAAACTGTGTCACCCCACCTTACACTTTCCTATTTTTATTTAATTATTTTTTTCTGGACTACTCTAATGCTGTTGGCCGCAGCTGGCCTTTACAGCTTCACCGGACGATACGAGGCGAGTGCAGATGGCACTCCAAACCAAAGGAAGGACTTATGAAGCGGCTGAAGGCCAACTCCTGCCTGACGGACATGACTTTAGTCTGAGGGCACCACTAGGGGCCGAACCTTGGCTCAGGCCGTCGTAATATCGATCCCCGTTTGAATTGGACGGGGGATCGATCAGAGGGGACACATTATTTCTATATACATATAGTAAGACTATTAACATCTGTAATATACATCTATACATCATCTCGACCAACATCATATCATTAACCCGCAACAGTTATAAAAGAATTCTTACCAAGCACAACTGCCCACAGATATCGCACATGACTTTCTTTGGTATATCAGTCCCGTCCTTGCGTGGACGAAGTTTGGATCTCTTCTCATACCTCGGGACTCTGACATGGTCTCTATTGCCTGAATGTCTGACGTAGTGCTCCGCAAAGTGGAATGGAGACTTAAAACTTTTCTTACACTGAAATGTAATAATATTAATATAGAGCTGTACCCGAGACTTCGTCCGCGTGAAATTTAACTTTATATCTATAGAAAGAAAGAAAGAAAGAAAGAAAAACCTTTATTGACAACAATTATTACATTTACACATTTGACAAAGGTACATTTTACATATATATGTATATACATACATACACACTTAGAACAATGGGGCCGTTCAAGTATTACGTAAGCACTATAGGGGGGCCGGGGGTCTTTTCTTTGCTTATTTTGGATGACATGGGGGTGGGGGAGTCTGTATGATGATTACGTCATCGGTCGTAATTTAATTTTTTACACGAATGGCAACCCTCACATTGTCTTTGCTAAAAAAACAATACATTAATTGAGAGATGTTTACGTAAGCATGGGGGGAGGGGGTAAGAGCTTTGCTTACTTTTGCTGACAAGGGGGATGGGGGGTAAATAATTGTGATAAATCTGCTTACGTAATACTTGAACAGCCCCAATTACAAAAAATCATCTTATATTATTTATATATATGGTTGGCAACATGGCTGACACTCAGCATATGTCGTGACAGCTAACTGTCATGGCGCTGGTATTCTGTCTATATAAACTATACATATAAATAAAATTGGAGTGTCTGTTTGTAATATTGAAATACCTAACCGTTTTTTACTACATGCATATGAATATAAATACGGTACATACACCAAAATATCATTTTTTACAATTTTTGTATGTCTGTCTGTTTGTTCCGGCTAATCTCTGAAATGGCTGGACAGATTTTAACGGGACTTGTATTGGCAGGTAGCTGATGTAATAAGGAGTAACTTGGGCTACATGCCATGGCAACTTTTTTGTTGAATTCCACGCGGACGAAGTCACGTATACAGCTAGTATAACATACAATCAACTTACCACTTCGCATTTGAATTGCTCAGTCGAGTGTACATTTAGGTGTTCATTCATTTCATCTTCCGTGGTGAAACTCCGACCACACTGCACACAAGGTACCACCTCACCACACCGATCATCTAAATGCCTGCAGAGCGCTGCATCGTTGTGAAACTTCGTGTGACAGCTTGCACACTCACTGATCCCACCAGAACTGTTCCTACGATTATGATTCTGAACTAAATGGTATTGGAGCAAGTTTTCTGTGGTGAAAACATCACCACAATTTACACAATTGTATCCACCACAACCCAGACTGTGGTGGTTCGCTAAAGCCGCATCTGTTCTAAACCTTGTACAACATTTATTACATTTAAATTTACACGCTTCTGTTGCGTGCATCTTCTTCTTATGCATTCTAACACCCCATTCTCCAATAAAGGATTCACCGCAATACTCACATACCGTCATCTCCGACGAGTGGTTCAAACGTTTGTGTGATAAATAACTAGTGTTGTGCTGGAACGTTTTACCACATTCGCAAGTGAAAATCTTGCCGGCGTGGTACGCCACGTGATTCTCCGCAGTGTGACGCGCTCTTGTGGTAAATTTGCACAATTTGCAATCGTATTTGAACAAATGAACGAATAGTTTGTGATTGTACAGATATCTTTTCTGGCTGAAGCGCGTGTTGCAGATGTTGCAGACGAAATTCCCGAGCGAGGGGTCGTGCTTCCATTTGAAATGGTTCAAGAATTTCGTTTTGTAATTGAACCCGACTCCGCATTGGTCGCAACGGAATTTCGTGCTAGGTGATTCTATTAGAGCTCTAATTTCATCCATTTGTTGTTTACGATTAAATATTGTTAGTTTAAAGTTATTACGTTCAGCGAATTCTTTGTTGTTAATAAATATGTTTTTCTTTTCATATTTTCTTTTACGTTTCTTTCTCGCGACTAGATATGGTAATTCTGATGTTTCATTTGAAATGTCGTCGTTATCACTTATAAAATCAGATACGGCTGCTGCATCACTGTTATTAATATTATTATACGGAACGAAATCTTCAAGTATCTGTTTTATATTCTTATCGTTTAGATTCATATCATCCAATTCTGGACCTAACTGTTCATCAGTTACTATAACAGTTAAATATTCCGCGTCATCATTGCTGAAACCGTTCTCTGTGGCAACCATATCTTTTGAATCTTCGGTAATTGATGCTTCATCATATTCATTATTAGAATCATCATCATCATTGTTTAAATACATAATTTCATCATCGTTTTCATCATCCGAATTGCTTACTTCGTCGAAATTTTCATTTAAATTTACAATTACAGGTTCCTCGCAAATTTCGTCGTTCGAATCAGATGCATTTGCAGTTTCATCGGCGTTAATAACATTCAAATCTGCCGTATCTTCTACCATTGCCACATTATCTTTTATTATTATATTTGCTAAGTTATCATCATTTATATTCGGATGTAATCCCTTACTGAAGTTGTATAATGTTTTTTCTACTAAATTCATAAAGAAATGACCTTCGAGATCCATATTGCGAATGAAGTCTGTTGTTATCTGTGGAAATATTAATAATAATAATAATAATAATAATAATCTCAGGACAATTCACACAGCGCCATCTAGACCCAAGTTAAGCTAGCTAGAGCTTGTGTTGTGGGTTCTAGATAACTGATACATATACATAGATATTTTTTTTTGTAAATACATACATATTATACATAGAAAACACGCAGACCGATACAAACAATCATACTCATGAATACAAATGTTTGTGCCGTGCGAGGAATCGAACCCGCGACCATCGGTCGTAAAGCGGTGTGCTTGACCGCTAGACCACCGAGGTCTAGCGGTCAAGCTAGCAAGTCTAAAATTCAAAATTTATTTAATCGAAATACAGTTGCAATAGAAATATAAATGGATGCAGGAATCGAGTTCATTAACGATAATAATGTAGAAAAACTTAAAATTCATAGCGCTGACAATATTATCTGATTGCACTAATAATGAGTGCGTAGCGGTTTCTATGTTGATTATCGCATGCCTCTTACTTTTTATTGTGTAATTATTTATATAAAAAACATCTATTCAAAAGAACAACACACAAGTTTCATCAAGAATGCCATAAGGCATTAAGTCCGCCATGTATACATTTTTGTGTGCAAAAGAATAAATAAATAAATAAATAAGTTTCATGCTTATTCTCAGGGGCGGATCGTGAATATGTGGGACCCTGGGCTGAATCTACTTAGGGCCCTACCTAATTGTATTACTCAACTAAAAAAATACACCGACCAAAAACAAGCGACCAGAAATTCCCCGTTCCTTTCGGTAGACGCGCACTTGTATCGGTTGATTGATCTCAGGGTTGCCAACCTTATGATAGATTTTTTAACATTCTAGATATTTGTTTATATTCTATTTTTTCAGTGGAGGGGGTCCTTTGTATCCTCGGGGCCCTGGTCTGCAGCCCAAAAAGCCCTTACGTAGATCCGCCCCTGCTTATTCTTGTGCCGAGTCTGCGTTCCGAATGAGTGGTAGAATAAAAATATGACTATTCAAAAGTGCTTGTAATGAGTTTATTTGAATAAAGATTATTTCCGTTTTTTTTTGCAGCTGCGGCCAACAGCATTAGAGTAGTCCGAAAAAAAAGACGGTATAAAACAATGACTTAAACCTTACTGGTATGTTGGATATTACGACGCCTTGCAGGATGTCCCGGCCTCTCTTGCACATGTCCACAAATGCTGCGACCTTCCGAAGCTGGACTGCACATTTGGTGCATAGATACTGAGGATATCCATCGCGTTGCTTTATCTAAAACATCAATAAACCTTTGAACATATGGCATCCAACTATGGAGTTCCGCCAGCAATAGCAGTATTGAAATACTAGAGAGGTCCAGAGTAAAGTCATGTATACATGTAAATAAAATTGTAGTGTCTGTTTGTTATATTGAAATAACCGTTTTTTACTACATGCATATGAATATAAATACGGTACATACACCAAAATAACGTTTAAAATTTTTGCCTGTCTGTCTGTCTGTTCGGGCTAATCTCTGACATGGCTGTACCGATTTCGACGGAACTTTTACTGGCAGCAGGATTGTAATAAGGAGTAACTTAGGCTACTTTTTACTTAGCTTACGTAATACATGAACGACCCTATTCCATAATACATAAGGAACAAGTTTATGTATAATATATGGACAGTATCTAATGTTGGCATCCTGGATACACTAAAAAAGTTTATGACCAGCACTAATAGCCCAAGAGCCCACGACTGCCAGACATACGTCATTGAGCTCGACAATGAGCAGAGCAAGTTATAATACGGTTACGAGCAATATGTGAAAAAATGGAGCATCTTAAAATAACGAATTTGATATGAAATTGTATACATCGTTGTTACCCAATATACGGTTTCAATGAGTCTGGTAGGATAAGGAAACAAGAAAACTGTCTGGCAATTTAGGAAACTCAGTTTGAGAGAACTCTCAATGATATATATAAAGTTCAGCTTTATTAAAATGACGTAAGTTTATTTCTAAAATAGTATAGTTTAGGGGGGTCCGGCGGGGGGTTGGAACCACACTAAGGGTCTGGCAACGAGCAGAGCAAGTTATAATACTGCTACGAACAATATATGAAAATATGGAGTTTCTTAAAATAACGAATTTGATATGATTTTTTTTACACCTTTGTTACCTGGTACCTGCCAAAGGAACCACGATCCAGGTTTCATGTTTGGGGATCGTTCTCACCTGTGTTGGGGACACACATACAAGAACTTTCACGTTTACTAAAATGACGTATGTCTGGCCGTCGTAGGCTTTTGCTCTATAAGACACGAATAAAATGAAGAGTGATGGAAACGAGCCTTGTATTGATTTTGGAAACTTTCATAATACAAAAGAATCCCTGGACAATCCACACAGCGCCATCTAATCTCAAACTTGTGTTATTGGTTTTATACTACTGATATAAATACATATATACTTTTTTTTTAAATACATACATAATATACTTAGAGAACACCCCGATACAAACAGTCATACTTATGAACACAAATGTTAGTACCGTGGAATCGAAACCGAGACTATCGGAAGTAAAGTGGTGTGCTTAATTCGAGTTTCTTTATGGAGTTCCAGATTTTATAAACACTGTTAAACAGCAAAATACAATCCTACAGTAGAATATACCAGTATCGACTAAATGTACACAGAAATGCACTGGCCACACAACTGCAGGGATCAGGTACCCTAACGAAGTAACAATAAAATTTTTAATAGATCACCAACACAAGTTTCTCACTCGTGCTTCATGTGATGAGACAGATTTCCGAATGAGCAGTAGATTAAAAAAAATTACTGACTATTCAAAAGTGCTTCAATGTAAGTTTATTTGAATAAATGATTCTTGAAAACTGAAATAAAATCTTTCTTTGAAAAACATCCTTTTGAAATAGAAATAGAAATAGAAATAGAAATAGAAATAGAAATAATCTTTATTCAAATAAACTCATTACAAGCACTTTTGAATAGTCATATTTTGATTCTACCACTCATTCGGAATGCAGATTCATCACAAGAAGAATGAGCAAGAAACTTAGACATGTGTTGCTCTTTTTGATAGATGTTTTTTTTATATAAATAATTACAGTGTAACAAGTAAGAGGCATGCGACAATCAACATAGAAATCGCTACGCACTCATTATTAGTGTAATCAGATAATATTGTCAGTGCTATGTATTTAAAATTTTTCTACAAAAACATTATTATCGTTAACGAATTCTTCAATTTTATAGTAAGCTTTTTTGCAAAGGAAGTGTTTTATTTGACATTTAAATCTTTTTTCTGGCAGATTTATAACAGACTCTGGTATTTTATTGTAAAACCTTACGCAATTGCCATAAAACGAATTACTAACTTTAGCCAAACGACATTTAGGTAAAATCAGTTTGTTATTGTTACGTAAGCTTTTATTAGTGCAATCACTAACTCTTTTGAAACTGTCTATATTCTTCCTGGCATACATGATATTTTCATAAATATATTGAGAAGCAACGGTGAGGATATTTGATTCCTTAAAGCACTCTCGCAAAGACTCCCTGGAACCCATGCTATAAATGGAGCGAATGGCCCTCTTTTTTGTTAATATTAAATACTCTTTTTAAAATATCCTCCATTACCTCTTCAAATAAATTATAATCACTATTTGGAGGTCTATAAACACATATAACTATATAATTGTCTAGTTCCACACAGGAAATTTCAATACAACATTCAACAGAAAGATTGCCAATATCACTACGTTCTTTTACTTTTATATTATTTTTCACCAATATCATAGAACCTCCTCTATTTACTATTTTTCTATTAAAGCAGCTGACAATATTATAGTTGTTTAAGCTGAACATCATATTGCTCACTTTGAGCCAATGTTCAGTTAAACATAAAACATCTATATTATTTTTTTCTAAAAACAATTGAATAATTAATTCACAGCCGAGAAAACTTTGTATGTTCTGGTGAACAATTTTCAATTCTGATAGCTTTCCCGTTGTCTTTTTCAGCAGTTTAAATCTGCAGTCATATTTAAATTTTTGTAAATAAAAGGATTCTTACTAGAATCAATATTTATGTCAATATTTTCAGTATGTTTAGTATTAACATTAGTACAAGTACTACTAATTGGATTAATGCAACCCATTATATTACTTATAATGGGGTCATTTATATTATAAGCTAGTAAACTAGCTATATTAGTTATTTGTTTTTTAGGCAGATAAAATCTATCTCCAGTCATACAAAAGTTTGTAACAAATTTGTTACTATCAAAAAATAAAAAGTCATTATGACGACATGTCATATTATAAATTAAATTATTAATATAATATATGAACTTCAATGGTCAGAGAACGACAGTAAGGAAATGCACATAATATTATTTTACCTATGCCCAGCTCAGCAATATTAAGCAAAGAGTTTACAAGTTTAATTACATGACTTTTTTTTACATATAAACAGTTGCCTAAAGCAATGACTAATGTGGTTAACTTATCATACCTACCATTAACCACCTTATTTAAAATATTAGGCAATGAAGCACCAGGAAGACAATTATTTATGACATGTTGATATAGACTTTCTGATAATGAACGGCCCAGACCCTTACCATATTCATCTGAATAAATAATTGTCCTTCGTACTGGTGCAACATTACAATTATCAGTTTTTAAAGACAAGTTAGAATTGAGTAAACTAGAACAAGGAGTGATTGACTCAAATAATTTTTATAATATTACCGAGTATTTAGATCTGAATATAATAGAAATAGAAATAATCTTTATTCAAATAAACTTAATATAAGCACTTTTGAATAGTCAAGTTATTTTATTCTACCGCTCATTCGGAATGCAGATTCATCACAAGAAGAATAAGCAAGAAACTTGTGTGTTGCTCTTAATTTATTATTAATTAATTATGTTGTAATATTGACTATGAAACATATTAAGTTGTTCCCGCAACTTCATCCGCATGGAATTTTATTTTATTTTTCTAAAATAAAAGTAGCCTAAAGAACTAAGAACTCACTACTACTCACACTACTAGCTATGCCTCACTGTTGGGTTGACTGGTAGAGATCTCTTTTAGAGATATGTAAGTCCACATAGAATTTTGATATCAGTTCAATAGTTTAAGAGTTTATTCCTTACATACAAAAACACAAATAATTTCTCTGTATAATATTAGTGTATAAGTGTACATCATTTACAACAATATAAAGATTGAACAGATATAGTAGCTAGATACGATATCTATATTTATCTAATTTTAATTGAATTGAAGGAAAACATAGGATACTAGCTGTACCCGCGACTTCGTCCGCGTGTAATTGAACCTAGTTTTTCTAAAATAAAAGTAGCCTAAGCTACTCCTTATTATATCAGATATCTGCCAATAAAGGCCCCGTCAAAATCGTTCCAGCCATTTCAGAGATTAGCCGGAACAAAAAACAGATTTTTTTTAAAAAAAATATTGTTTTGGTGTATGTATTTATATTCATAAGCATGTAGGAACAAACGATTATTTCAATATTACAAACAGACACTCCAATTTTATTTATATGTATACATTATTAAGAAAACAAAAATCTAACCTGATATCTAGTTAATTTTCGAAAATGTTCACTCAAATCATGTTTAAAGATATCGTAAAGTCGGACATCGGTAGCTAAACACGCCCGGCATGCAAGCAAATCACTGGATGTTTCTTTATCATCCATAATTATGAAGTTTTCTTCTGAACCAAATGTAAACAAATATATTTATAAAAAAAAATTAAAATCTAAAACAATTTTGCGTAGATAGAGAAAACACACAACACAGAACACAAAGATTAGATAGAGAACGCAAAAGTCGGCGCCATGCTTACTTACTCCATCTATAAAATGTTGCCAAATAGAAATACTGAACCATAAAAATATAGGAATTAATAGAAAACATTTGTCTTGTTAATATTATAAAAGAAACAATAGATTTTTAGATGTTTTGATAATCGTGCAAAAATTTATGAGCAAAATTTACCAAATTAGATTAATTAACAAAATTTATCAGTCTTGACAGTAAATGCAAATGAAAAAACGGATGAAAGTAGTATATGAATATGTATTTATTTACATTTTCATATACCTCGTTTTTGGTGTTTATAAAATATTCACTTTAAGACTGCCAGAGTCTTGCAAAGCCTAATGAAAAGCATAAATGAAGTTCCAAGAAGTCTACATCAATAGGCAGTATGGGCCATGCTCTTCGCCTAATGGAATTGGAGGAATTTTAAAACAACAACAATCAAATCAAAGTCTCAATATGTATTCAATAATAAAATTATGTTTTTATTATTTATAATAATAATTATAATAGGTTTTCTATCTTAATCTAGAATTTATTTATGTTTTAATTTTTGTATTACATGTGTACATTGTAATAATGGACATCTATTAATCAAAACATAACATATTTACTAATTGTAAATCAGTTATCTGAATAGTTATATTTTTAAATTATATTAATAAATTAATATATTTATTATGTATTTAGTGAAGCATAGAAATTCTCACAGCGTGTTTGCTTGCCGCGGATGTTTGGCTACGGATGTTAAATTATTCAATATGTTTGATTGTGAAAATAAGCTTTTCGAGCACTTTGGGAGATTTCTCGGAGTTCCGGTTAGTATAGGCCTATAAAAAAATTAATTAAATGATGTGACCAGATTTGGCGCAATACGTGAATAATGATATTCAGAAAGAAATTTTGATTTAAGATAACGGAAATGGGAGGAAAAAACTAAAAGAATGGTTGATATCGCCTTTTTTCCCAAATAACTCGTTAACGGCAAGAAATATGAGAACTTGTTTTAAATAAAAGTTGTAGAGAAAAAAAATCTGCACAAAAAAGGTTCTCTTCATAGTTTCGTTATCTGCTATTGTTAAGCCACAAAAAGTAAAAATTAATTTAGCTCATTGCCAATTGATAACAGTAAAAACTCTGTGCAATAACAAGAGGCGGTCTTATCGCTATAAGCAATTTCTAACAATTAACCTAGAAGAGAGGACTAACATACAAAAATGGTAGATGGCACATACAAGACATTATAATTATTATATTAATAAATAGACATACATATATAAAAATAGAATAAAGATTTTTATTTATCTTATCTATCATATATAGATATATAAACTTACATATGTACTACATATTAGAAGGATTCACAGAAAAATAGACATTGATGATTAAATTCAAATTATAAAATCATTTATTCATGTAGGACATTTTAGCCGCTTATGAATGTAATTTTTTTTATATTATAATTTTTTTGCCTACCGTCCAGTTCAGTATACAGATTCAATTGAGAAGAACTGGCAAGAAACTCAATTGAATTACTTTTTTTTTTAAACCCGTTTATTTACAATGTATATTTATAGGGGTGTCTATGTCTAACATTAAATGAAAATCCCGTGTATGAACAACTATTGCCATGCACACTCGTCATTCAAGTAATCGTTTATATAGTGTTCACTTATTCGTTATTTATGTCTTCTTGTATGTAAGTTGTTATCGACGTAATATCGGCTCGTTAGCCATAGCTCCACATCTTTACTCCGCGGCGCTTACGCAGGGAATCCCTTCCCTCTTGCGCACGGCGGTCCGTGTACGCTCGGTTCGAGATGATAGATAATAAACTGCTAGTGTTTCCACATACACTACAGTTTAGTAATAGGCCTTGCTCAGTAAATATGATTTAACAGATGTTTTGAATTTATTTAAGGGTGGATAATTGGAATTCCAATATATTCTTTGGTATCTTATTGTAAATTTTTATACCTATTCCATAAAAGACCTATTGACTTTTTCTAAATGATACTTGGGGACAGCAAGTTTGTCTTTAAATCTAATATGGAAAAAATCAGGTTATGGAAAGAAATATAAAATGGTTAAATTAATATACCACTTTATAATTCTAGATACTAGCAGGTGATGGCTACCCACATCATCTCTGCAGCACCTGTGCTGTTTACCTGCAGAAGTTCATAGCGTTTAGGAACATCTGCGTAAAAGCTCAGAACATGCTGGAAGAGGCTGAAGTGCGTGGAATACAGGTGAGTAGATATCATATCATGTATGATCATCATATCAGATGGATACAAACCAACGAATGACAAAACGCCTACTAAATCTGGACAGGCACAACATAAAAATAATGATAGGGTCAATGACGGGCCACTGTCCCTTAAACAAACATCTGTACACAATAGGTGCTACAGACAGTCCACTGTGCCGGGGCTGCTTTGTAGCCGAGGAAACGGCTGCTCACGTAATCCTGGAGTGTGTAGCAGTGACCACACAACGCAATCAAATCCTCGGAACGGTTAGGTCGCTCCGTGAAGCCTGCGAAGACACCAGGAGACTTCTGCGCTTCTGGGATGAGGTTGGCTGGCACTTTAGTAGCCACACAATGGCAAATGGAGTCCAACCTACATTACACCATTATATCATATCATATATCATCATCAATATCATATCATATATCATCATCAATATCATATCCTCATGGCGGTCTTCCACAGTGCGGTTTTCTAGAAACTTTTTTGCCACACACAACCACATTGTGGTATCACCTTCCAGCAATGGTATTTCCGAACCGATACAATATTGAAACCTTCAAGAAAAGAGCTTATTCCTTTTTAAAAGGCTGACAACGTACAGGCAATTCCCCTGGTGTTAGGTGCTCATGGGTGGCGGTAATCATTTACCATCGGGTGAGCCGCATGATCGTATGTCTCCTGTGTTATAAAAAAAATGTATATATCATCATCATGTCCACTCATCTCAGCACTTGCTGAGCCACCAGCTAAATGGAGGCCCTTTCAGTTTATAGTGCAATATCTAGGGCGCTGTTTCTACTCTATAGATGATTATTTAAATTATAAATACTATGAATAAAAATGTAATTTAATGTAATAATAAGAATAATAATTGTAATAATGATAATAATAATAATCTCAGGACAATTCACACAGCGCCATCTAGACCCAAGTTAAGCTAGCAAAAGCTTGTGTTATGAGTACTTACTACTTACTTACTACATATTTAGCACACTGTACAATCCTTTGCTGAATAAATGATTATTAATATACTAGTAGAAATGTGAATGTATGTCTATATGTATCATTACATAGTATAAAATAAAGTCACTGTCGCTGTATGTCCCTACGCATGTTTAAATCTTTAAATATATATATATATATATATCTGTAGTATATATAGTCTTTGGCATAATTTATATTTTTCATAACGTACTCTGTGCAGTTGACAGAGCCTGATTGTACGACTTTATCATAGCAACTATCGGAGAATTATAAACATTTCAATTATGGACACATACAAGGACTTAACACAAACTTATAATTAATGAAAAGATTTGGCGATATCGCCATGAAGAATTTTTGAATTTCATGGAAATACTACTGAAGATTAGGCTGTATGGTCTCGTACCTTTGCCTATCCACTTGTGGATAAAATATACCACTACTACTACTGTAAAAATGGCGGGAACTGCCTAATTAAATGTGAAGCGCAATTTAGTATTTTATTTATTTAAATATTTAAATACAGTACAAATTGGCGACGAGTAATAATTCACGTGTGTAATTAAGTCTGCATTAATAAAATTGTATTGTTAATGTATGTGATGGCTGGTTACGGAAACATAATGTTCCACGGTAGCCTCACCTTTGACCACCGCTCTCAGGAATGGAGCATATTCAAAAGTCGTTTTATTCCATACTGCACCGCAAATGATATTAATGAAGAGAATGATAAATTCCTGGTGAATTTGTCACGATGTGCTAACTGACCTGACCTCATGTTCTTATCATCCTCCACTGGTGCCCCGCCAGCGTAAACCGTTAGCGCAGGCGGGTGCACCATCCCATTAGCGACGACCTCGGTGGTCTAGCGGTCTAGCACACCGCTTTACGTCCGATGATCGCGGGTTCGATTCCTCGTACGGCACAAACATTTGTATTCATGAGTATAATTGTTTGTATCGGTCTGGGTATTTTCTATGTATAATATGTATGTATTTACGAAAAAAAAATTATCTATGTATTTGTATCAGTAATCTAGTACCCATAACACAAGCTTTAGCTAGCTTAACTTGGGTCTAGATGGCGCTGTGTGAATTGTCCTAAGATTATTATTTCTAAACTTCAAAAAAAATCTCATCTCCTCTCCTTAAGAGGGGAGATGAGATTTTTTTCGTCAATTTCGTTCGGCAACTTACCCCCGACAGGAGCACAGTCGGCCGGGGTTCAGGGCCCCAGGGAGAGAAACCGGCGTACAATGCGGACAGAATCTATCTTATTATTATTATTATCATCCTTAAAAAAAAAGTGCCTAAAAAGCAGTGGTTTACTGCCTGCATGCTGCAAACACTGAGGTGCTGCCTTTTTGCGTATGGGCTATGCACCCACACTACGTTACTCACATCGATTTCTTTTTTGTTTGCCTGTATTGCATTTTATCGGTATATCTGTATTGTATCATATTTTATTGACTGACCAATCTATCACTATTACATTGGTCAGTCAATAAAATATAATTTTTATTTTTATTGTTAATATTGTGTAACAGTGCCTTGTGTGTAATGTGACTTTAGAGTATATATTTTTTTATCTATCTATCTATACATCTATACATATAAATAAAATTAGAGTATCTGTTTGTAAAATCGAAATAACCGTTTTTTACTACATGCATATGAATATAAATACGGTACATACACCAAAATAACATTTTTTATAATTTTTGTCTGTCTGTCTGTTTGTTCCGGCTAATCTCTGTAATAGCTGGACCGATTTCAACGGGACTTTTTTTGACAGGTAGCTGATGTAATAAGGAGTAACTTAGGCTACTTTTATTTGAGAAAATATCTTTTAAAGTTAAACTCCACGCGGACGAAGTTGCGGACACAGCTAGTCTTTAATAAAAATATTGCTCAAAGAAATTAAACTGACTGTAATATACTTTCATATTCCACAGATAACAACATCATATATACGCAAAATGGATCGCGACAAGCACATGCACTTTTCATTTGTTAAAAAACAATTATTTAACATCAGTCTAACAAATTCTAATGTAATTGATGAGGAATTCATAGATACATTTGATAACCATGAGGCTATAGATTTTAATGCAGACAATATGAACTGTACAGTTATAAAAGAGGAAAATATCAATTATGATTACAATAACGATGCAACAGAATTCGTTACGGCTGATAATAAGATCATAGACTCTAATTTTAGTAACGTAAATGATACAAATAATAAAGATCATTCTGTAAATTCACCTATATCTAATGATATATTAGTAAATAATGATGTAGCTAACGGAATGACTACAATATATTTAAAAACTGAAGATGATAACGATTTAAAAGACGAAAAACAACAAATTGAATCTAAAAAGAAAAGAACAGTTAAAAGAAAAAAGCAATTCATAGATAATTACTTAAACGAAGCTAAACCAACACAAATAGGCAAAAAGAAGAAAGTACTTAAAAGGACAACGCCTGATAAAACAAAAGAAGAAAAAAGGAGAGGAAAGTGTAAAAAGAGAAATGTAATTGATATAACAAAAGAATTCGCAGAACAAAACAATTTCGATCTTACAATATACACTCGTGAGGAGCAATTAGAAGAAGTTAAAGTATTAAAGGAAACTCCTACAGATAAAATACAGTGTGAACACTGTGGTTTGAATTTCAAATATAAACATACGTTTTTAAATCATTTCCGAAGCAAACACGACCCGTCGTTAGGTGACTATGTGTGTACAATATGCAATGTTCGTTTTAGGCAGTTGAGATATCTGTACAAGCATAAACTACACGTGCATTTATTCAAATATGAGTGCAGAGTATGTAAATTCAGTACAAAAGCTCGGGGCACAGCAGAAGCGCATGCAGCTTTCCATGCAGGGAAGACTTTTGCATGCGAATGTGGCAGAATATTCAAGCATAACTCTAGTTATTTGTCTCATAAACGTTTAACTCATACATCGAAGTTAACGATTTGTGAGTTCTGTGGCGAATCTTTTATTGGTGATTGGGGTTTGGTGGTACATAAGCAAAAGATACATAGCGATGTTATAGAAGCTTGTATGTTTGTCTGTGGCAAATGTGATGCGAAATTCAAAACCGATGATGCTCTAGTAAAACATGAGGGTTTAAACTGTGGTGGATACAATTGTGTGCACTGTGGTGATGTTTTTACGACAGAAAAGGTGTTAAGATACCATTTAGTTCAGTATCATAATAATAGAAGTAACTCTGAAGAGTTTGAATGTGAGGTATGTAGAATTAAGTTTCATAATAAGACGGCTCGGGAGAGACACTCAATTGGCCGTTGTCTGGACGTGGTACCGTGTGTACAGTGTGGCGAAGGATTTCCAACAGAACAACAGATGAATGAGCATCTGAACGTGCATTCAACTGAGGAATTTAAGTGTGAAGTCGTAAGTTTTTATCTTGAAACATTTTCATATTTAGTACTATATTTTTTAATTGAAATTTCGTCTTAAAGTTTTCTTATGGTTTATAAAAAAATCTTTTTTGATTTTATTTTCGTAATCTTAATAATAATAATAATCTTAGGACAATTCACACAGCGCCATCTAGACCCAAGTTAAGCTAGCTAAAGCTTGTGTTATGGGTACTAGATAACTGATACAAATACATAGATATTTTTTTTTTTTGTAAATACATACATATTATACATAGAAAACACCCAGACCGATACAAACAATCATACTCATGAATACAAATGTTTGTGCCGTGCGAGGAATCGAACCCGCGACCATCGGTCGTAAAGCGGTGTGCTAGACCGCTGGACCACCGAGGTCGTCAATCTTATATATAAAGTTCTCGTGTCACAGTTTTCGTTCCCATACTCCTCCGAAACGGCTTGACCGATTCTCATGAAATTTTGTGAGCGTATTGAGTAGGTCTGAGAATCGGCCAACATCTATTTTTCATCCCCCTAAATGTTAGGGGTAGTCCACCCAAAAATTTTTTATTTTAAGGCAAAACAACGTTTGCCGGGACAGCTAGTTATTTATATAAAAAAACATCTATTCAAAAGAGCAACACACAAGTTTAGATCCATCTCTCTAACAAAGAACCACCGTCCAGTTTCCATTAAAACAAGTATTTGTGATTTGAAGCAGTTTAATTACATCACATATACAGCATCTTGTGTTTCTCCACGACGTCCCGCGTGTCCGGGGCGAGGGTCGGCAGTTAGGTGGACTACCTCTAAATTTTATTATTTTAAGGCAAAACAACGTTTGCCGGGACAACTAGTTATTTATAAAAATACCCAGACCGATACAAACAATCATACTCAAGAATTAAACAAAATAATATAAATCCATTGAGTAGTGAAATGGACTTCCGAATAATAGCACTTAATTCGATTAAATAAATAAATAAATAAATAATAATAAATAATCTCTGTACAATCTTCACCCCAACCTATCGGACGTACGCCGGTGCTCGAGCGCCTCTTCACCATATTGTTGATGTATTTAACACCAAATTTCCTGATTTAGATATATTTGATTTGTCATACTTTAAATTTAAGAAAACCCTATTAGACATATTAAGTAGAAACCAGTAAATAAATAATGTATATAATAATAAGAGTAACATAACATAAGTATTAACCCGTGGATATCTGTATTGGTTTTACTATTATTAATTCATATCTATGTACTTATATACATACTACATTGTGAAACTGTTTGTATCCCAATTAAAATAAAAAAAAAAAAAAATTCACACAGCGCCATCTAGACCCAAATTAAGCTACCTAAAGCTTGTGTTATGGGTACTTGACGACTGATACAAATACATAGATGTGTTTTTTTTTTTCGTAAATACATACATATTATACATAGAAAATACCCAGACCGATACAAACAATCGTACTGATGAATACAAAATGTTTGTGCCGTGCGAGGAATCGAACCCGCGATCATCGGACGTAAAGCGGTGGAAATATATAGTGTAGTATCTATAATATACTCACTGCATACATTGTATGGACAAGTTACCGGCATCAGTATATAGTATATATTATATGGATATGTATAGCTTCCACACTCATTCATACATTCAATCATTTGTTTAATTAATTTATTTTATATGTGTTCAGTTAATTCATTGATTTCCTATTTGGTTATTTTGTTTTAGCGCAAGCCAACTACATACTTTGTGTTAATTAAGTGAAGTCTATAGTAGCTTTAATATTACAACATACATTAATGTAAATTAAATTGTAACGTAATTGGTTTCTAAGAAATATAATTTAAAAAAAATGTAACAATTTATATGCGTAATAGGTCTGTATTTTATTAAATAGGGGTGAATGTCATACCACAAGAGAAAAAAAAAACGTAACTGTCAAAAAAAAAAAAAACGCGCGCGGCTACTGACTGCGTTCCGAAATGCAGTAAAAAGTCACAATTATTACTCAATAGCCCTTATAATTTGTGACTGTTATTATATTAAACTTGGTCGCATTTCGGAACGTAAGTGAGTGAAAAATATTGTACCGATAATATGAATCACAACTAGATCTTAGGTAAATTATGCTATTACCTCTGAGAATGGCTAAAGTATGCAAATACATATGCGAATATGCAAATGCATATAATCCGGTCTCTAGTGATGAGTCTGAGTTCCGAATGAGCGGTAGAATAAAAAAATGAAATCTGTTATAAATCTGCCAGAAAAAAGATTTAAATGTCAAATGAAACAGTTCCTTTGCAAAAAAGCTTACTATAAAATTGAAGAATTCGTTAACGATAATAATGTTTTTGTAGAAAAATTTTAAATACATAGCACTGACAATATTATCTGATTACATTAATAATGAGTGCGTAGCGATTTCTATGTTGATTATCTCTCTTACTTGTTACACTGTAATTATTTATATAAAAAAAAACATCTATTAAAAAGAGCAACACACAAGTTTCTCGCTCATTCTTCTTGTGATGAATCTGCATTCCGAATGAGTGGTAGAATCAAAATATGACTAATCAAAAGTGCTTGTAATTGAATAAAGATTATTTCTATTTCTAAAATGTGACTATTCTAAAGTGCTTATATTAAGTTTATTTGAATAAAGATTATTTCTTTTAGGTTCTGTATTATTTTAAATCTCAATTTCAGTGTAAAAAGATCTTCAAGTCAGCCTTCTACTTTGCTGATCATTACGCCAGACATGGAAGAGAGCAGGGTAAGAACTCTGGACGTGGCAGAAGGAGGGGATTCCAAATCCTGCCAAGTGTAAGAAAAGGGCAGAGTATTGATAAGAAGAGAGTCATGTGTGAAGTCTGTGGACAACTGTGTTTGGTAAGTTTTAAAGGACATCAGTAGCAATGTACCATATCAGGTTGAACCGCGAGGGTTCTGGTGGAGATATTCAGCAGTGACTATAATTTATTTATATTTATATAAGTTGTCTAGTACCCATAACACAAGCTCTGCTTACCGTGGGACTAGATGGCGCTGTGTTAATTGTCCAGGGTTATTTATTTATTTATATCAGTTGTCTAGTACCCATAACACAAGCTCTGCTTACCGTGGGACTAGATGGCGCTGTGTTAATTGTCCATGGGTTATTGTCCAGGGTTATTTATTTATTTATATCAGTTGTCTATTTGTGTTAATTGTCCAGGGTTATTTATATCAGTTGTCTAGTACCCATAACACAAGCTCTGCTTACCGTAGGACTAGATGGCGCTGTGTTAATTGTCCAGGGTTATTTATTTATTATATCAGTTGTCTAGTACCCATAACACAAGCTCTGCTTACCGTAGGACTAGATGGCACTGTGTTAATTGTCCAGGGTTATTTATTTATATTTATATCAGTTGTTGAGTACCCATAACACAAGCTCTGCTTACCGTGGGACTAGATGGCGCTGTGTTAATTGTACAGAATTATTATTATTATTATGTCATTTCAGGAGACGGGATATTCAGTGCATCTTAAAATCCATTCAGATGAGAAAGATTATGCGTGCTCGATGTGCTCCAAACGATTCAGAGCGTTATTACCACTAGAGGTATTGTATTTATTTATTTATATTTAGCTGTGCCCGCGACTTCGTCCGCGCGGAATTTAACTTTATTTTTCTATTACGGTTATAGTGATAATAATAATAATAATAATTTATTTATTTGCTTGCTACATGGTAGTTAGGTAGGTAGGATCTTATTAACTAATAAATGTACATGACATGCAGCACCCCTTAGAAGGTATGCAAATATTCAAATTAAATCATATTCAATTTAATATAAAATTATGTCATTACATTACGAATCTTAAAAGATACACATATATCACACTTATTATAATAATGGCTTAACTTAAAAATTACAAATTTTGGAATGTACACTTTATAACAGTGGTATTAAGGACTAATTTCAAAAATTTATGAATAACACCAGTATTGTACTAAATATGCGATATACTGGTGTAGATATTTATTTAGATCATTTAAAGAGGAATAATTCTTTCATACATATGTTTTGGGTGACTTGAACCGTTTACGCAGCGCACGCAACGGAAGCCCTCAAATATGAATAATTATCACCGTTTTTGCTACATTTTTCATTGCAGCTCCGCTCCTATTGGTCGTAGCGTAATGTTATATAGCTTAATACCTTCCTCGATAAATAGACTATCCAACATAAAAAGATTTTTTTAAATCGGATCAGTAGTTACTGAGATTAGCGCGTTCAAACAAACAAACAAGCTCTTCAGGTTTAAATATTAGTACAGACTAGCTGTACTTGAAATAAATTTTTCTAAAAAAAATATTTTTTCTAAAATAAAAGTAGCTTAGTTACTCCTTATTACATCGGCTACCTGCTAATAAAGGTCTCGTCAAAATCGGTCCAGCCATTTCAGAGATTAGCCGGAACAAATAGACAGACAGACAACAATTTTTAAAAATGTTATTTTGGTGTACCATATGCATGTACTAAAAAACGGCTATTTGAATATTACAAACAGACACTCCAATTTTATTTATATGTATAGATTACTATTTTTTTTAATAACTATGTTCCCCAGATAGGCTATTTCAATATTACAAACAGACACTCCAATTTTATTTATATGTATAGATGTATAGATTACTATTTTTTTTAATAACTATGTTCCCCAGATAGGCTATTTCAATATTACAAACAGACACTCCAATTTTATTTATATGTATAGATGTATAGATTACTATTTTTTTTAATAACTATGTTCCCCAGATAGGCTATTTCAATATTACAAACAGACACTCCAATTTTATTTATATGTATAGATGTATAGATTACTATTTTTTTTAATAACTATGTTCCCCAGATAGGCTATTTCAATATTACAAACAGACACTCCAATTTTATTTATATGTATAGATGTATAGATTACTATTTTTTTTAATAACTATGTTATAGGCTATTTCAATATTACAAACAGACACTCCAATTTTATTTATATGTATAGATGTATAGATTACTATTTTTTTTAATAACTATGTTCTCCAGATAGGCTATTTCAATATTACAAACAGACACTCCAATTTTATTTATATGTATAGATGTATAGATTACTATTTTTTTTAATTACTATGTTCCCCAGATAGGCTATTTCAATATTACAAACAGACACTCCAATTTTATTTATATGTATAGATGTATAGATTACTATTTTTTTTAATTACTATGTTCCCCAGATAGGCTATTTCAATATTACAAACAGACACTCCAATTTTATTTATATGTATAAGAAGTATAGATTACTATATTTTTTTAATTTCTATGTTCCCCAGATACACATGAGAGTGCATACAAACGAGCGGCCGTACGAATGTGACCACTGTCAGAAGAAATTTAAATCGCGAGGTGCTCTCTGCAGACATATTAAAACTGTATGTTATCGTTATATTAGATGCCTTTACTTGTACGTTAGTTTCACGCACGAATCCTCCCCTCCGATCGACCCCTTCCAATTCAAACGGGGATCGAAATTACGACGGCCTGCTCCCCTCCGATCGACCCCCTTCCAATTCAAACGGGGATCAAAATTACGACGGCCTGCTCCCCTCCGATCGACCCCCTTCCAATTCAAACGGGGATCGAAATTACGACGGCCTGCTCCCCTCCGATCGACCCCCTTCCAATTCAAATGGGGATCGAAATTACGACGGCCTGAGCCGAGGTTCGAACACCTTTTTTTTTTACTTGGAGAAAATCCGTCATGGAGACCCTCCGGCCCCGGGGGAAGCCCGCGGGTACTGTGAGACTCCTACTCACTAAAAACTCCAAGATATCCCTCATCCAACGCCATGTGCCGGAGTCGCGGGATCGAATTATACTCGACCACAACTCCGACGGGAGGTTCGAACCCCTAGTGGAGCCCTCAGACTAAAGTCATATCCGTCAGGCAGGAGGTGGCCTTCAGCCGCTCCATAAGTCCTTCCTTGGTTTGGAGTGCCATCTGCACTCGCCCCCTAACGTCAGGTGAAGCTGTAAAGGCCAGCTGCGGCCAACAGCATTACAGTAGTCCGAAAAAAAAAGCACGAATCTTCTTTCACACAGGAAAGACTGTACATGTAAATGTAGGTGAAGATAACGAGAGAGACCTCGCGCGCAATTATAAATAAACTAAGATTTATATATACATAATAATAATAGTAATGTCAGGACAATTCACACAGCGCCATCTTGTTGAATGCATCTGTGCGATAGATCCTATGTCAGTCACCTTTGAGTTATATATATTTAGATTATTAGACTTACATAAGAGGAATGTATACTGTATGTCAATTAATATGTACAACAATTTTCCAATGGAGATTAAAGGACTCAGATCTCATACATTGTTCAAACGCTACAGAGTTGGCTGTAACTTAATAATTTTTAATCCAAGAATCAAGAAAAAATGCAAGAATATTTATGTAAAATTCAAAATTAAAAAATCATTTATTCATGTAGGACATTTTAGCCGCTTATGAACGTCAAATTTTTACATTATAATTTTATTTTTTTCCCTACCGTCCAGTTCGGTATATAGATCCAATTGAGAAGAACTGGCAAGAAACTCAATTGAATTACTTTTTTTTTAAATCCAGTTTATTTATTTTATTTATTCATTTATTTCAGGCAACTAGGCCCATATTATAAATACCTTATAGACTAACATATATATAATATAATATTTAAAAACTAATACACTGATATTGTCTGTGTGATCACGGCACTTCTATTTTTCGGCCAGTAATCCTCTTTCATGAAGGTGGGCAATTTACAATGTATTTTTATATAGGTGTCTATGTCTAACATTAAATGAAAATTCAGTACATGAACAACTATTGCCATGCACACTCGTCATTCAAGTAATCGTTTAGTGAGTAAAACGAACACTTTCACATAATTTGCATCGACATATCATATAACATCATATTTACTGTACCAATGTTTTCCAAATAAATAATTTCATTAATTGTTTCAGGTCCATCTCGCATTACGGCCACATCAATGTCATTTGTGCCAGAAATTCTATAAAACATCCACATGCGTGAAAATGCACATTAAGACCGTACACATGAAGTTTCCTATGCCTCCACGGATAAGAAAACCTCGACAGTTAACTGAGAAAAGCGCGGGAAACGAAAATTAGTTTTTTTTTAATTGTTATAAATGTCAAAGTGATTAATGCAAAGAGCGGTAAATTTTGTTGACTCGAAATATTATTTATTGATGTTATTTGTTTTTTTTAATGTCAAATATCTTATATTTATTTACTTATACTTAGTTTGCAGTAATTAAATCCATACTGTATCAATTGTTAAATTTAAACATACAGTTATATTTTGAATATTGAAGAGTTATAGACCGTTTTGTCTCCTTCATTAGTTTTAAATTATATTATTATATCGCCAACAATTTTATTAGCTTTTGTTTGAGACAAATGAAGATGACGATTATTATTATTAATAACGAAAATATCATTTTCAAGAATTCCAAATAAAAATCAGTATTATTAGAAATGATGAACGAAAACCTTTACCTAACTTATTCTTTACATATTTATATTTCTTAACATTTTAATGTTAATGTACACATTGTTTAAAAATTTTAAATTAATAAATAAACTTATTCCTTGACCTTTTTATGTATGTGATGAAATAAAAACAAAATGTTAGAACTTTTTTATTTCTTATTCTTACTCTATTCACATAAAAGAAAGTCCTTCCTTGCGTTACAATCTATCTTCATGCTAATATATATTACTAATTTAAATAAACAGCCCCCTAAAGATTTTGTACTGAAATAATGACAATGTACTGACAACAGTGATGGTATTTAACAGTCACTTCAAACATTTATATATGATTCAATATCAATTACTATAAGTACGCTCTAGTAGTACCTATCAATTAATATCTAATTTGTAGGTGTATAGTATAATTGTTTGACTAAAAGGTAATTCCAGAGCCGTAAATTTACTTATTAAAAAAAGTTACAAAACAGTGCAGTCAAAGTATGACACAAAACTACTCTGTGCTGTGTTCTGTCATAATCGTTATTCAAAGTGAATTCTTATTTCTCTTGTTATATATAATTTTCGTAGATATTAAAAATTAATATGTATGTATTAAAACAAAATAATTTGAGCCAATTGCTAGCTTGTCGTGGCTGCTTAGCTACTGATGTTAAACTTTATGATTTATTTGAGAACAAACTGTGGGAACAGTTCGCAAGATTCGTCGGTGTTCCGGTATGTAATTTTCTATTATTTAGACTTTGAATACTGTTTATATCTATTGACGGTCACGGTGGTTTAGCGGTGTAGCACACCGCCTTAATTCCGATGGTCGCGGGTTCGATTCCTAGCAACACAAACATTTTTATTCATGAGTATGATTGTTTCTTCAGTCTGGATGTTTTCTATGTATAATAGTAAATCAGTTATCTAGTACCCATAACACAGACTTTAGCTAGCTTACCTTGGGTATAGATGGCGCTGTGTGAATTGTATTGAGATCATTATTATTTGCAATTTATTTTTTAAGGATTTAAAATCAGTATTATAAATAATAAATGATATTGGACAGACAGAAAATAAGTTATTATTTCTTTTTTATTCTAAATTACTAACAATCATGGTACTGGTTTGTATTCACATTGAAAATTAGAAATGTAAAATTACAACAATTATTTAAAAGAGCAACATGCAAGTTTCTCGTTCGTTCTTCTTGTGATGAGACAGCTTTCCGAATGAGTGCTAGATTAAAAGAATGATAACTATGACTATTCAAAAGTGCTTAAATTAAGTTTATTTGAATAAATGATTTTCTATTCTATTCTAATCCTTTTGCCCCAGTCAGGTCAGTTAGCTTGATATCATGGTTTTATTTTGAGGCCATAGCTCATCTTATCATCCTCCACTAGTGCCCCAGCATGTACTAGGAGTATATGCTGGGACATATGTCCATTATTATATTAAAAATGAAAACAAGTTTTATCTTGTAGAATTAAAAAAAACAGATCGGGTTTTGGGCCATTGTCAGGTGTCTGTAGCACCTGTAGCACTGCAACCTACATAGATCTATTGTGCTCGCCCTTTTTCAAAGTTCGCTACCTAGATCCATCAGGGACAAGAATTGAAGGATATTCTTAGGAGCAATTGTTTTTATCTCCACAAGATAGAGTGTATACTTTCCAAAGGAGATATTTCGATTATGCATGAGAGAACAACCACATAGGATGTGTAGTGGCGTTTCCACAAAAAAAAATTTTCTAGCCTAGCCTAGCCTTTTCTGCAGTCAGTCAGAGACTATGAACAAATGTGGTGTAGGTGCTACGTCGCGGGTAGAGAGTGATTCCTAGCAGAATCATCGTCTAGAATAGAATAGAATAGAATAGAAAATCATTTATTCAAATAAACTTACATTAAAGCACTTTTGAACAGTCATTACATTTTTTAATCTACCGCTCGTAGATCACAAGAAGAACGAGCAAGAAACTTGCGTGTTGCTCTTTTAAATAATTTTATTATTACTTTACATTTTTAAGTCTAAGTGTGTGAATACAAACCACGAATTAGCACTAATTCAATTAAATACTCATCATCGTCTCTTTTGGAGGTCCTGATTAATCATCGGATTCCAGTAGCCTACGCCTTTTAAGCAGACATATGTTGTCAGGGATATATATCAGTCGGTTGGCCAGCAAATTAGGATGGTGTACTGTACCGTGTCTTGGACTTGGAATAGTGGTGTTTTATATCTTCGGCTACTGTGTTTGTGATGACTCGTGAACCTCAGATATTTTTACAAACCATGGTGTAATAAGCTGTTCCAGGATGTTATTTTGTGCCCTTTGAATTATGTTTTTGTATAAATTTGCAGCAGAACCCCACAATTGGATGCCATAGATCCAAATGGGTTTCAATACAGAGTTGTACAGGAGAAGCTTGTTGTCAAAGGATAATTTTGAGTTTCGGCCCAGCAACCAATACATTCCTTTGTATTTTATGTTTATTTGATCTCTTTTTACTTGAATGTACTTTCTCCAGGTTTCCTCTAAAATAATAATAGACATTGTGATTATCAAGGTCCTTTTTTTTCGGACTACTGTAATGCTGTTGGCCGCAGCTGGCCTTTACAGCTTCACCGGACGTTAGGGGGCGAGTGCAGATGGCACTCCAAACCCGCGGAAGGACTTATGGAGCGGCTGAAGGCCAACTCCTGCCTGACGGATACGACTTTAGTTTGAGGGCACCACTAGCGGTTCGAACTTCGGCTCAGGCCGTCGTAATTTCGATCCCCGTTTGAATTGGACGGGGGATCGATCGGAGGGGCGCCCGGGGGCGCCATTGTAGGTATAATTATTATTTGCACATTTTGACCCACTCAACACTTCCTATGCCACACTCTATTGGGTTGACTGGAAGAGATCTCTTTTAGAGATAAGTCCTCCTTTGTTAACATTAGTTGTAATTAATAACAAATGTATGTAAGTGCAGTAAAGAATATTTATAATGTTTTATTTCTTCATCCAGGTACTAGCTGGTGATGGATATCCTCACCACCTTTGCAGCATATGCGCTGTATACCTACAGAAGTTCATAGCATACAGGAGCATCTATAGGAAAGCACAGAACATGCTAGAAGAAGCTGAGCTACGAGGGATAAGAGTAAGTCATCAGTCACTTTTTTTTTGTCACTGTATTGGTATATTTTGAATTTATTACTAGTCTGTTATTAATTTAACCACAAATATTTGTATTCATGAGTATGATTGTTTGTATCAGCACAGATAATATAATATTACATAGTATCGGTCTGGGTGTTTCCAATGTATATTAGATATGTATTTTAAAAAAATCTAAGTATTTATATCAGTTGCCCATTAGTATCCATAACACAAGCTCTGCTTACCGTGCGGGATTATTTATGTAAAAATGTAATTAATATTTCTTATTTCCACAGATAACAACTTCATACATACGAAAGATGGATCGCAAAAAGCATATATTCCTCAACTATATTAAAAAGGAGTTATTCAACATTGATCTATTAAATCCAGATGGAGACATCGTAGAGGCTGTACACTCTCATGAAAATTCTGACGAAGCGATAGACACAAATGAAGATTACAAAGCTAATTGTACAGTTACAAAACAGGAATATATCTATGATAAAAGTCTGAGCGGTAACGGTACAGAGTTCGTGCCGGTTGGTAATAAACTTGTAACTGAAACAGATTGCATTAAAGAGTTTCTAGAAAATTTCACCGAAACTAACGATATATTTGAAACCAATAATGAAATTGATAGTAACAATACTACAGTAGATCTAACAAGCGAAGATTTGAAAGAAAATCCAGAAATACCCGCTAAAAGGAAGAGATTAACTAAAAAAGTTGTTCCAATAACAGAAGGGAATGTTAAAAGAAAGAAAGCTAAAAAGCGAGACGTAGCTGATATAACCAAAGAGTTTGCAGATCAACATAACTTTAACTTAACAGTGTACACACGTGAGCAGCAAATTGAGCAAATAAAAATGTTAAAAGAAATGCCAACGAGTAAATTCCGTTGCGATTACTGCGGTATAGGGTTCAAGAATAAAAATAAACTGTTGAATCATTACAGAAGTAAACATGACGCGTTGCTTGGGGATTATGTATGTAGCATCTGTCATACACGGTTTCGTGAGAAAGACTATCTGTACAGTCATAATGTAGCAGTTCATAGGTTCAAATTTGTGTGCAAAATTTGCGGTTTCAACACACGTGCTCGACTTACAGCTAAAGCGCATTCAGAATTCCACGCGGGGAAAACATTCACGTGTGAATGCGGGAAGTCGTTTGTTCATGAGACAACTTATTTATCGCATAGACGATTGACGCATACGGCTAAGCTTATCAGTTGCGATTATTGTGGTGAATCGTTTATTGGCGAAAGAGGTTTGCGCACCCATAAACGGAAGATACATAGCGATGTTCTAGAAGAGTCTATGGTGAAGTGTGGTAAATGTAACAGTAACTTTAGAACTGAGGATGCGTTGACAAAACACCATAGTTTGAGTTGCGGCTCGTACAATTGTGTGAACTGTGGCGATGGGTTTGCCACGGAAAATCTTTTAAAATACCACCTACTACAGAATCATAATCATAGAACGAGTTCGGAGAAGCTCAGTGAGTGTAACACGTGTAAGGTTAAATTTCACAATCCTGCAGCTTTGTTTAGGCATTCGGTTGATAGATGCGGCGATGTGGTACCCTGCGTGCAGTGTGGTATAGGTTTTGCCACAGAATTGGACATGAACGAACATCTCAATGTGCATTCGACTGAAGAATATAAATGCGAAGTGGTAAGTTATCTATACATTTAAATAAAACTAGCTTTTGCCCGCGGCTTCGCTCGCGTTAGTTTATCCCCTTAGGGGTGGATTTTATCAAAATCCTTTCTTAGGGGATGCCTACGTCATAGTAGCTTTATGCATGCAAAGTCTCAGCCCGATCTGTTTAAAATTGACAAAGTTTCATCCCCTATTTTATCCCCTTGGGGGTAGAATTTATCAAAATCCTTTCTTAGCGGATGCCTACGTCATAACATCTACCTGCATGCCAAATTTCAGCCCGATCCGTCCAGTGGTTTGGACTGTGCATTGATAGATCACTATGTCAGTCACCATTGAGTTATATATATTTAGATTAGAGTGCCTGTTTGTAATACTGAAATAATCGTTTTTTTACTACATGCATATGAATATAAATACGGTACATACACCAAAATAACATTTTTTACATTTTCTGTCTGTCTGTTTGTTCCGGCTAATCTCTGAAATGGCTGGACCGATGTATCTAAGCATATCTATCACTTGTCTAGTACCCGAACTTGTGTTAGGAGTACAAAATAAGTGATAATTATCTGTATTATATCTTTATGCTGAGTTGGCTAACTTTTCACTTTTGCGGCACATAAAGTCACCTACATTTCTTTTATGAATTCGTGTTTTTTCTGTATCTCATCTTTCTTTTTTTTTTATTTATAACACACGGGACAAACGAGCATGCGGCTCACCTGATGGTAAGTGATTACCGCCGCCCATGAGCACCCGCAACACCAGGGGAATTGCAAGTACGTTGTCGGCCTTTTAAAAAGGAATAAGCTCTTTTCTTGAAGGTTTCAATATCGTATCGGTTCGGAAATACCATCGCTGGAAGGTGATTCCACAATGTGGTTGTGCATGGTGAGAAGTTTCTAGAAAACCGCTCTGTGGAGGACCGCCGTTCAGTTGAATACATGTGTCTGTAATTGTGAATAAAGAATTTATCTATATATGTATTCCAACATTTTCAGTGCCAGAAAACCTTCAAATTTGCACACAATTTCGCTGAGCATTATGCCCGCCACGCCCCTAAGAATGCAGCTCAGAGAGGTCTCCGGAAGAAGCGGAGGCCGAAGAACACCAAACGAGTCATGTGTGAAGTCTGTGGACAGCTTATCTTGGTAAGTAACTATATATTTAGTACAAGCTGACTAAGCTCGGTTAGGGTGGTGAAATAATATCACGTTGTCTCATTAATTGTTTAACCAGTTGGTTATATATTCAATATTTTTTCTATTTGAATATTTAATAGATGTAATGCGTAGGAATGAAGATCATATCCTAAGGACGGTGTTACATATGAATGTGGATGGTTATAAGGGTAGAGGAAGACCGAAAAAGAGATGGATGGACTGTGTGAAAGATGATATGGTGAGAAAGGGAGTAAATAACGGAATGACTGCGAACAGAGATGAATGGAAGAGAAAAACATATTACGCCGACCCCAAATAAATGGGATAAGGAAGAAGCAGATGATGATGATGAGTATTTAATAGAATTAGTGCTAATTGGTGGTTTGTATTCACACACTTAAACTTAAAAATGTAATGTAATAATAAAATTATTTAAAAGAGCAACACGCAAGTTTCTTGCTCGTTCTTCTTGTGATGAGACTTTCCGAACGAGCGGTAGATTAAAAAATGTAATGACTATTCAAAAGTGCTTCAATGTAAGTTTATTTGAATAAATGATTTTCTATTCTATTCTATTCTTTGTTGTGGACTGTAGAATTATGTATTGTCGTATGTAAGAGAATTTATGTGCGATGCCCAATGCACGGAATGGCCGAGTGTGGTCGCGGCAGATCAGGCTCGCTGCCGGCTCGGATGCCCTCGCTAGCGCACCAACACTAGCTGTTTCCGCGACTTCGTCCGCATGGAATTTAACTTTATTTTTCTAAAATACCAGTAGCCTAAGTTACTCCTTATTACATCAGCTACTTGCCAAAAAAAGTCCCGTCAAAATCGGTCCAGCCATTTCAGAGATTAGCAGGAACAAACAGATCGACAGACAGACACACAGACATACATATAAATAAAATAGAAGTGTCTGTTTGTAATATTGAAATAACCGTTTTTTACTACATGCATATGAATATAAATACGGTACATACACCAAAATAACATTTTTTACAATTTTTGTCTGTCTATCTGTCTGTTTGTTCCGGCTTATGTCTGAAATGGCTGGACCGATTTTGACGAGACCTTTATTAGCAGGTAGCCGATGTAATAAGGAGTAACTAAGCTACTTTTATTTTAGAACAATATTTTCTTTTAGAATAATATTATTATTGTTAGAATTCACATCATTATTGTAGAAAAAAATCCGATATTTTAAAAATATATTAAAAGAAGGTGGTTTGTTTTTAGTACTAATGAAGTACCCAATGTAAAGATTATTACGAATATTGTAAATAGCGCCATCTAGTATTTATAGACCGAACTACTACACTGACTTCGGTCTATAAATACGGAGGTCGGTAGTTGAATAATTCTCTTTCGTTGGGTGAGCCGCGGCATTCAGTCGACGAGTGCAGAGCGTGCCGGTTGTGTTTTGGATACTAAAGTGAATTGTATTAGGAATGGGTTCATCCCGGTCTTAGTTGGGCCTGGGGGGAAGCTGCAAGTAGTGAAGGTGAGTGTTAATGCATTCTAAAAGGGCCTTTTAAACCTACACCCGTGTCACAAGTCACGGGCGCTACTTGGGGTTTCCCTTGCGATACCCGGCTTCAAGTCAGTTTTAAGTCAGTCAGCCTCATTCGTCCATCATAATTAATGCTTCTTACATTATTAATTCAGGAGTGTGGGTACCCGATGCATCTTAAAATCCACTCGGGCGAGAGAGAATACAAGTGTACATTGTGTCCAAAGCGATTTAGAGTACCTCTATCGCTGCAGGTAATATATTTAATAAATATTATTATTTATACATATAAATAAAATTGGAGTGTCTGTTTGTAATATTGAAATAACCGTTTTTTACTACATGCATATGAATATAAATACGGTACATACACCAAAATAACATTATTTACAATTTTTGTCTGTCTGTCTGTTTGTTCCGGCTAATCTCTGAACTGGCTGGACCGATTTTGATGGGACTTTTTTTGGCAGGTAGCTGATGAAGTTAGAAAAATAAAGTTAATTTCCACGCGGACGAAGTTGCGAGTACAGCTAGTTTAAAAGAAGTAATTCAATTGAGTTTCTTGCCAGTTCTTCTCAATTGGATTATATACTGAACTGGACAGTAGGGTAAAATTATAAATGAAATGTTTTTATTTGCATGAAATATAATATAAAACATTTAATAAAATTGATGTTGTTTTGGCATGCAATATAATATAAAACATTTGATGTTAATGAACAGCTAAAATGTCCTACATGAATAAATGATTGTTTAATTTGAATTTAATTGCAGGATGGACACAAAAAATTTGTAATATGTTAAGATAAGTGTACGAAATTTCATACTCCAGTTACTTCCGTAAATAGGTGTAAATAGATTTTGTTTCATGTATTATTATTATTAATAATGTCTTTTTTTTTCAGTTTCATATGCGCGTACACACAAATGAGAGACCGTATGAATGTGATTACTGCCAAAAGAAGTTCAAACTGAGAGCTGCAATCGTCAGACATATCATGGCCGTAAGTTCATTATACTCACGCACGCACGCTGTCCGGTGCCCTCAGACTAAAACTTTTTTTTTCTTTTTGTGGCTTGGCATGTTGGTGCTTTTGCCAAAGACAAAATTAAGGAAACTTGTTTACGAATGCGAATTAAATAAATTTAGGATACGGAATTTGGTATAGTATCGACTTATAATCGTTTTAAACAATAGAGATGTCCGGTGCCCTCAGACTAAAACTTTTTTTTTTCTTTTTGTGGCTTGGCATGTTGGTGCTTTTGCCAAAGACAAAATTAAGGAAACTTGTTTACGAATACGAATTAAATAAATTTAGGATACGGAATTTGGTATAGTATCGACTTATAATCGTTTTAAACGACAGGGTACAGATTAATAAACAATAGAGATGTCCGGTGCCCTCAGACTAGTATCCGTCAGGCGGGAGTTGGCCTTCAGCCGCTCCATAAGTCCTTCCTTTGGTTTGGAGTGCCATCTGCACTCGCCACCTATCGTCCGGTGAAGCTGTAGGCCAGCTGCGGCCAACAGCATTAGAGTAGTATGAAAAAAAGTGAATAATTTCAAATAAAATCAAAAATTATTCATGTACGACATTTTAGCCGTTTATGAGCTTAAGTTTTTGTATTAACATTTTTTCTCTAATATATTTACTCAACGAGCAAAACACTGAGTTTCAAACTGCCCAAAGGTTATACGAATGAATGATTTAAAATTTTAAAACAATTTCATTCTCAGGTACATTTTGGAGTGAAGCCGCACCAATGTCACTTATGTCAAAAATCCTTTACAACGTCCACGTGCGTGAAAATGCACATCAAGACTGTACATATGAAGATTCCTTTGCCTCCGCGAATTAGAAAACGAACACCCAAGTCTACAGAGTAGGGCAAAAGCGCGGGAAAAATATCTGCGTACATATTTAACAAATATTTTTTTTTATTGTAATCTGCCGAAAATCACAGAAGCCATTCAAAAGTATTTTGAATTCTTATAATATTTATATTCTGTAATGAAATTTAAATAAATTAATATATATATATAATGTACTAAGTCGCAACACCCATTTAGATATTCTGTTGTAATATTGCAATAATTAAGAAAAAAATGCGCGGCAAAATTATTTGCGCCAGAATATGAAACAAAAAAAATATCTGTACACCTATATAACAAAAGCGCGCGAAATATATATCGTATAATAAAAAAATAAAAAAAGGTGTATTATTTCTACCAGTTGTCTAATGCTATGGGCATGGCATATTTTATTCCCTCTAGTATTTTAAAATAATTATACTGTAATAAGTTTATTTGATAACTAGCTCTTCCCGTGGTTTCACCCGCATATGTGCTATTCTACTGTATAAGCTGTACTGTACAGTTTCAACAAAATCCGTTAATAAGTAATTGAGTGAAAGAGTAACAAACATCCATTCATCTATATTTCGCATTAATAATATATGCTAATTCGTTTTACAATGAAGCTAAATCTAAGTTATAATCTGAGAGACGTAGCCAATGGAAGGGTTAGTGTTGACCACAGATAATATAGTATTGACAGAAATAATATAGGCACAGAGGGACTGCATAATGAATATTAAAATGTACATGACTAATTTTATGTAATTATATTTTTACATCTTAAAATTGTATGATTATTCATTTTCATAGTTAAAAACATGTTCATAAAATTAGTTCAAACGTAGAGAAAACGCACGCTATGTATTAAAAAAAACACTCCACTTACTCCTGTTAAAATATTCTTTATAGAGAAATTTAATTTATTAATAGTGTAACACCGTTCCGCTACACTTTACTATTTAGCTCCTACTAACTATTCGGGCTACAAATTTGGCCCGAAAAATCATTATGTGACAACATAAAAAATAGTATAAATTAAATTAACAATGTATTATATGTATCTAAACATTATAATTAAATCAATCACTATTTTCTTATTACTTGTCTGTTTAGCTATATTTGTTAATTTTTAAAATTATGAGCCGTTCTAATTTAGACCAAAAACATACAATGACTTGGCAACACTAAACTTTTTGCTGTCGTATTATTGATCGTCAATGCATGAGTTGCATATTTCAATTGCATTTTTCAATCTATTTTCAAATTTATTTGAATTTTAAGTTTTCCGAATTGCTTGACTGTCGGGTTAAATTGCTGTTGGAAACGAGTAAATATTTTGAGACATTCGTCCTTGTTTTGGTTAATTCGTTATAAGTGAAGTCGTTAAAATTGTTGTCTTTATTGCAGTGTCTCCAAATACCATAAAAAAGTTTCAGTAATAAACATGGCTTTCCAACGCCATTTCTTTGACTGCTTTTCGGTTTTCCCTCCAATATTCAATGACCCAATGTTGTTTTGTGATGTAGAGTTCATTCTTTCGGCTCTAATGTTATACGATGAAGGGAAATCGGTGAAATGAATCTGTAAAATCAAAAGTTTGGTTATAAAACTACCATCTTAATTTGATTATCGAATATTAAACCATTATGGTTTCCAAATAGTCCTGAACGGTCTGCTATTGTAAGGTTGTCGTAGGTATGGGTTGAAACGAGAATTGTATATATATAAAAATGATATGACGTTTTTATTCTTGCTAAACTTCGAAGATGGCTAGCCGATTGGCTAATTTTGGTTTTGAAATATCTGTAGAACTCGAAGGAGGCTGTATATGGTGAGAAAATAAAATATTACCTGTCAAATAGTTTTCAGAAATTTTTTGCATAACTAAACATCAAAAAACCTTTGACATATTTATTTCTGGTGTGGAATCAGCTAGTGCACGGTCGGCTAGTAAGATATATTTTCTAATATTGTCCCAATGGCCCTCATATTTGTCTTCTCAGTCGGTTGTTAAATTGTTCTGCCTTATAAACAGTCAGCGAATAATACCACAGATTCATTGTGTTTAATAGTTTCAGTTTAATCATTGTGGTGTCCAAGTGTGGGGGTCAATAGAGTTATAAAATTTGTTGCATTTTGATTAATTGTTGAATATGGTCTCGGATTATCACTACATAGTATATAACAAAGTCGCTGTCACTGTCTGTCCGTCCCTGTGTATTCTTAAATATTTAAATCTACACAACAGATTTTGAAGTGGTTTTCTTTAATAGATAGAGTGATTTGAGAGGAAGGTTTATATATATAATACATGTACACCCGTGCAAAGCCGTGGCAAGTAGCTAGTTAAAATAAAAATTACCCGTTAAGTTTCTTATGCATCTCAACTATAAGATTATTGATTAAAAACAAAATAAAGAAAGGTATCACTTGAATTGTGGTTAGCAAAGGGTCGGCATGGGCTCCATTGTGTTAAAGATGTGTGAAGTTTGTACTTGTGCCTCTCGACTAAAGAAAAACAAAATAAAGAAAGGTAGCACTTGTATCATTGTGGTTTCCAAATGGTTGGTGTGGAGGTCAGAGCTATTAAGTTTGTGTTGCATTTTGGTTAAATTGTTGACTATGGTATATGGTTGAAACAAAAATGTACTAGTTAAGTTTCTTATGCTTCTCAAATGCATGGTAATGGATTAAAATAAAACAAAAAGAGTATCACTTGGATTACATGTCAGTTTTCAACTGGATTTCAAAATGTTGGCACTTAGGATTGTTGTTGTAAATAAATTGAATTTTGACATTCTGGTTCGTTCTTCAAAGAGGTATATCTTGAATTTATTGTGGTTTCCATAGGATCAGTGTGGAGGTCAGTATTTTGGTTAATTAATTTGACTTGACTATAGTAACTGTTTAAAAAAAAATAGTACCACTTGTGGCTCCAAATTAAAAACCAAATAAAATGTACCACTTGAATCATTCATGGTTTACAAAGGTCCAGTGTGACCTCCACACCATTGTGTTAAAGATGTATTAAGTTTCCACTTACGGCTCTCAACTATAATGCAATTGATAAAAACAAAAAAGAGCTACCACTTGAATCATTGATGGTTTCCAAAGGGACAGCATCCAGGCGCATTGTATTAGAGTTATTAAGTTTGTGTTGCTTATTTCGGTTAATTATTGAATATGGTCTCGGATTAATTGATTAAAAACAAAAAAGCTACTACTTCAATCATTTATAGTTTGCAAATTGGATCAAGTGGATTGAAGAGGATCAGTGTGGATGTCAGTGTGAGGTGGATTGTGTTAAAGATGTATTAAGTTAGTACTTGTGCCTCTCAATTATATGGTAATTAATTGAAAACAAAATTAAAAGTATCACTTAAACCATTCATCGTTTGCAGTCTGTACGGTCTAAGGGTCTTTGCCTGTTCCATCATTAAAAAGGAGATAGATGAATATGATAAAAAAAATCATTGGTCTGCATGGAGATTCATTGTTAAAGAAGTATTAACTTTGTACTCGTGCCTCTCAACTGTATAGTAATTGATTAAAAACAAAATAAAGAAAGGTATCACTTGAATCATCCTGGTTTCCAATAGGTCAGAGTTATTAAATTATTAAATGTTGTATTTTTGTTAATTGTTGAATATTGTCTGTGATTAAAACAAAAATGTATCTGTTAAGTTTCTTGTGTCTCTCGACTGTATGCTAATGATTAAATACAAAATAAAAAAAGGTATCACTTGGATTTCATATTATTTCTCAACTGGATCATACGGACAGTGATGTTAAATGTTGGCACTTAGGATTGTTGTTGCGAATAAATTGAATTTGGTCATTTTTGTTCGTTCTTCAATTTGGTTCTATTTTATTCTCTGTTTCTTGATCATTACTAATATTATAAATGCGAAAATAATTCTGTCTGTCTGTCTCGCTTTCACGCCAAACCTAGTGATCTGATTTAAATTAAATTTGCTACACAATAGTCTATTGGACATTCTTGTTCGTTCTTCCACATGGTTCTATTTTATTCTGTTTCTTGATCCTTACTAGTGTAAATGCGAAAATAACTCTGTCTGTCTGTCTGTCTCGTTTTCACGCCAAAACTCGTGATCTGATTTAAATTTGCTACACAATAGTCTAAAGCATGAGAAGGGATATAGGCTACTTTTTAATGCGAATAAAGGTCGAAGGCGAATAAATAATCAGGTCTTAATTCTATATATAAATTATTCAAAGTCTCCATAAAGAGCACTAATACAAATCACACAAAAAAATGTAAATAATGGCTTCAAACTGTCGAGGATGACGGGTATGCCAGCATCTTCTACTGAGTCTTGCATTTATGGCTGTGTTAATAATATTACGAATCGCCTAAACGTTTACAGCTAATCCGAAAATGAGGATCGCAACGTTTAATTTTAGCAGTATTTCAGCTAATATAAGTCCAGAGGTGGATTTTTGACTTTGAATGGAGACCGAGGGCTGTTGTTCCACTATTATATTGTCTTTTGATTTTTATATCTCATCCTATAGGTCAATAAGAAACAATTGGATACTTTTGTTTTTCTCTTTATCCCGCTGCTTTCCGAAGTCTGCTTGCGAGTAACTTTTCTTGGTGTACGTCTTTGCAGCTATACTGTCTCGATCGCCATGTGATACAGAATCGGTGACGAGGGTAAAGAACTTGGAACTTGTGTATTTGTTTCTTACATCTTGACTACTATACTAGTTTACTATGACTATTTATCTCAAATGGTATACGACTTAGTGACGTTAGATAAAGTGACTTATCTAATATAGATTTGTACAATCTATTATCCTACATGCTGAAGTATAATTACTATATTACAAATAGATCCAACCACCTCATTGACATTAACAATTTTGCCCTTCAAGTTTTTGGATTTTGACGCCAAACTGTGCACTGTGGTGCGGCGATGGCTATGGTATACACTTCTTCGATGGACTATATCTTAATGTAGGAACTGGCTGGTCAAATATTTACTTACCCAAACGTAAGTATATTTGCTCTTCTGTGGGCCCACAAGGTTACAGGTAGCTCAGGAATTCAATCACTTTTGTTACATACATTAAGATATGCATGCGCGGTGAAGGCTAAGACATCACTCTAAGTGAATTAGCCGGGAGGGGTGTCAATGCATAATGGCAACCCAGGTACGCATCGAATATTTAGATCTATGTGTACAGGTTCTCCAGGGTCACGTCGTAGGAATTGGTATTCTCAACGTCCACTGCGATCCTGCTCAGCCTGGTCGCACTCGTGTCTATCAACAGCTCCTCTGCTAC